TTGACCCCCCGCCCCCCCTCTCTGGGGGGGGGCCTAAGTCAAAATGACCGCCATATTTGAACGTCTCGCATGCTACTGTATCACTCCTGAAAAGATGGATCATATCTGATAGGGGGCCAAATCTAATGGGGGATGGAACAACCTCTTTTGCGCCAACATCTCAACACGGTTGAATTAGCCAATCACAATCGAGAACTGTGGCGCGGTAACCATGGGAACACCGGCCGCTCCCGATATCAAAACATTGAATAACAACGACACTCATGACAACAAACAGGTTAAGCTAGGTGTTTCAGTTTTAACGAATTTTCACGAATCTTTCACGGCAGACGAGAGACGTGAATGATCTAAGAGTTAAAATGCTGACTTAAGTTTGAAGGTTCCGAGTTCTTGAAGCAGTGAAAACTAATAATCGATGGGCATCAATTGAATATTTACAATGTATCATCAGGGCACCGTGAGGAATCATCATGAGGTAAGCATTGCAAAAATTTTCAACGCCTTGAGCGTCAAGTAATGTGCTATGTAAGTGCCTTAATTCTTAACCACCGGTTAAAGGGACGAAACAAGTAGGTATCTCAGTTCATGAAACTGCAGTAAACTAAAGAACAGTTGAGGGGCTTGGAGGACAAGGCTCATGAGGTAAACTAAAGGACATTTGAGGGGCTTGGAGGACAAGGCTCATGAGTGCAGTTTTTGCTATTTCGAGAAATACGTGTTAGAAGTTTTGAAATTACATGGATCCATGAGGCGGAAAGAAAGTTCAATTGACTCTCTAATGTTAATTAATTTGGATTTGGGAGCGAATTTTTCACAGAATATGCATTAAGACTAGCATAGTTTTGCGTAAAATCTTTAATATCTCAATATTTTCGGAAACTGCACTTAGGCGCCTTGTCCTCTAAGTCTCTCTGTAGTCCCTCATTTGGCATTTACATTTCTTCCGATCTGATTTTCGTTTTATAAAGAATACTCAGTGAAAATTTCAGACAAAAATATAGGATTGTTTCCTTTTAACATGCGTTAATTTTGAAACATTGCGACGGAGAATTTTCAATTTTCAATTGCACTGTATCTTTGTTCACAAATTTTAAACTGCGGTGAATTTCTTTTTGGAAAAACTTAAACTTCATTCCAATTCCAAGACTTAATGTCCCGGGTCCTTTAAGTAATTTTTTCTCAGTAAACCGAGATTCTTTGTCTTTGCTCAAACTCTCCTCAACCGAACTTCTCGGAAGACCAAAACAAACTGAGAGAAGTTATCAACATTGGTCAGACAATTCTCTTCTTATTCTTGATTTTTTACTCAACTGGTGTTGATAATTAGAGCCACCTAGAACCTCTATGTTGAAAATGAAAACCTGCCGATATTATCGTGTTCAAAATACTATATTTCAGCAAAAGTAAAATATTTGTTGACAGCCATTTAAAAAAAAAGTTTCGATTTATTCTTTTGAGAGTCTTTGTTTCTTTTCACAGGATAATACAGAGAATAATTCAAGCGATCGCTCTTTTGATGATAAATCACCCAAGCTTGGTAATGAGCAATTAGGAGTCAAAAAAACAGATATACCCTTAAACGTCGACCCTTCAGTTATGAAATATGTTTCGAATACCATCGAAGAATTTGTTGCCGGTGATCTCGATTCAGAAATACAGAATTTACCAGAAATCGATCCTTCAGCGTGGGAAGCAGAAGCTTACAATATTTCCAAACTACTATTCGATAAGCATCACCAAAAAATCGAGCAAAATTTGCGGGAATTTCTCCGAGGCATAGAGTATACAGTAGATTTTCCGTTGCCCTGTGAAGGCGAAAACGAGAGTGAAACTTCGGAACCGAGCAACATGACTTTAACATACTTCAATGAAGCACAAGAATCGATAATCGAGTCTCAGGCGTGCCATGACATAGTACACTGCATCGGAAACGATAAAAACGCGGATGTGCGATTAAAATACCTCAACATTCTTGCGAATCTGCAAAGTTTCGATGATATCGATTGCGACTCATGGATGGACATATTAAAAAAATTGAAGAAAAACTTGACGGATGAAAATTCGGAAATATTTTCAATCACACTCCAAATCCACTCGAAACTGGCTTCGAGTATGAAGGCGTTTTTTCTTCAGGAGGCCGTCAAGAATCTAGTCGAGCATCTATACTACCAATATCATTTCAAAAAATTCCCTCACTTGGAGATCAACGTGGATGATGAGATCGCCAGAAGAACCGTTTATATTTTTGTATCTTTGGTAGACATTTTGAAACATATCGGTCACAATTTTATGCGCGTGAGCGATAAAGTTCTCCACGAGGTTCTCAGTTGTTTCGTTAATTTGATATTCGTCCACCCTTTCAATCTGACCGATTTGAAACAGATCTACCAGACAGAGACTCTGTGCCCGTACGCATTTTTATCTGCATTAGATCCGAATGCTTCTTGGTTGACGAGACTTCTGTTCAATCTGAAATCGCGTCAAGTCGCGATGAGTGTTTTCAAGGAGAATAAAAAGTTTTTCCGACACAAAATCGAGCAGGTTTTCGAGTGGTTCCAACTCTCCGACACAAGTATCCCGATACCTGCCGAGCGACAGGCGGCTACTCTCGGGTCCGTGAAGCTTTTGACGATTAAATACGCCATGGTCGTTCACACAATTTCGATGTTTTCTCACGTATGTCAGTACAGCGAGGGCAAGAAAATGTTCGCGAACTTTTGCTCGGAGCATAAGTCCATAAATTACGAGTCTTTCGTGGGAATAATGGTGCATTTTCTACAAAATTTCCAGGAATTCGAAAAGATTAGGACCACATTTTTCTCCGAAAAATTAATCGACACTGTCGCAGATTGTGTTGTAAAGATGCTTCCAACTGAGAATACGGAGTCTTTGAGATTGATTTTAGTCGAAATTTTTGCGCCGCTAAGGAGCTCCGAGAACATTTCAAGACCTTACGCTGAATTTCTGAACAAAGTCTTCGACAGCCCGTCTGTCATAGCTTTCATAATTGCTCAAAGTAGCTCTCATAACTTTTCAAGCGATCGAACAATGAGCACCACGAGTACGAACAGTTCTCAATCGAACAGCTCGAGATCAAAACGATCCAATTCCGGCTGTGAGAGTGTTCACACTGCGAAGTCAGACAAGTCGTTCGAGTTGATAGTGGATGAGAACATTTCTGTGAAAGTCGTCGTTCAGTATGTCCATGTTTACATGAATACACACAGTACAGACGATTTGTCCGTGATAGAGAAACTTCTCAAGATTGTTCTCGAGTTTTTTATTCTACCCGACACTTTGATTCTTCTGCACTCGTACTTGCATTCGATTATCTTTGACGTCTTCCAACTCACAAGCCTTGTAACTCAGGATTTCTGCTCGACTCGGGAGAAGTGTCACAATGCTGGCAGGTCAGAGGAAAATGCCATTAAAAGGTAAATATCGACGGTGAAACTACCAAACCACGTATCTCGGTTTGCGACGTCGCAGACTTCCTGTCATACTTTATTTTTTAAATGAAAAGCTACTTAACGTACAGTCTTGAAAATTTCCGTGATTTTTCCTCTTCGTGCGGAGAAAATTCTGTGAAAATTTCAAGGAATGATATTGATTTGGTCTACTTTAAAAAAATAAAATGTGAGCGGAGATTTTTAAACACCGCAAACGAGATACGTGGTTTGGTAGTTTCACCGTCGATATGTGACAGTCTCATGCGGTTACCCCGGATTTTTGACGAGGACCTGCGGGTTGATTATTGAAATTGATAGACAAAGCTTAAATGAGGCCAAGAAAAAATGGAGCAATCCACATTGGTGGAAGCGGGTGGTTGAAATGGACAAAGGAGGTAAGTAATAGACTAACTGACGGGAACCCGTAAGGGACCCTATAGTTTGTCGATCATTGTTCCCCTTTGTCTATAACAAGCACCCGTTTCAACCAACAGGATCGCTCCAGTTTCTCTTCGTCTTCTTTGTCTATCATTTTTTCCATCAGTTTAAAGAATCAGCCTGCTATACCAGCTACCAAAAATGATGATGTGTTTCTAGACAGGGCATGAATTAAAGCACTACGCGACACCTTTTCTCTTCACAATTTCACGAGGAAAACGGCTTGCACAAGAGAGGTTCATGGAAAGACCAAGTCCTAAACAGGATATGAGTTTTAAATGCCAAAAGTACAAAAATAAATTCCATGGTATCCTTGTTAAAAATACTTGATAATATTGTGTTCAAGAATTGAATTCCAAACTCCCCATCACGTGGATTATTTTCTAAGTGCAATTTTGAAGAGAAAATATGTGATAATTTTTTCCGGGCTCAAGCTTTGTCTAGTTGTCCATTGAAAATGCATGCATGCATGAGGATTGAAACAATTGAGAATGTGATGGAAACTCAAGACAAGAAGAAAAGAAAAAGAGGGGTGTCCTGAAGCACCAAGAAACTAAGCGCAGAGAGGCTAAAACTCCAGTGGCGTGGCGTGCTTTGCGATACATCGATTGTTACGCCATTTAAACCTATGGAAAAGGATCGATAAACAGGGTGTTCGCAACGGACACCTGAATAATCGATTCTTTACCATAGGTTTAAATGGCCTAATAATCGATATATCGCAATTCACGCCACGCCACTGTAAAACTCGTACGCTCCATTTGTATGATATGAAAATGTGTTACTCACCAAATAGATAGGTGTTCGAAGATTAATAACAAGATGATAATCATCGAATTCCAAGTTGAGTCAGGCACACTGAAACAGAAAATAAAACTTATTATTTTTCAATCTTTGAAGCGATCAAGCAAGAGCGACAGAGATGAAATGACTTAAGTCAAGTATCAGCAAGACATAATTAAAAATGGTCCTTATTCTACATGTAATGGAGTCACTTTCGACCGTGCGAAAAATTATATATAATAAATTATATAATATACTTCCCGCAAAAAATGAAAATTTGTGGCGCGATATATTTTATTTCGCATGTAAACTTAGTTTAAGTTTTAGTTTATGTTGAAAAGTTTTTCGAGAATCCCCCATAAAAAGCCAATAGAATACAACTCTCTTGGTAACAACATTAATTAAAGAGCTAAAATGTTTTTCAACGAGCACTACACGGTTGTTTTCGATTCACCTTCAACTGCGTCCGCAGCAATTGTTGTTACATATATGTTGTGCGTGCTGATCTATTGGAAAACCGTACAGAAGTGAGATTGAATGAATCGCTCAATCCCCACTTTGTTTGTCCTCCAAGAGATTGCGCTACTTGCGCACATAAAACGCCTTCAGGAGTCGAGTATGTAATGAGCGAAATCAGCACGCACAACATATTCCTATTCGTAACAACAATTGCTGTAGACGCAGCAAAAGGTAAATTGTACAGTTAAAAAAAAGTATGATAGGAAGTCTGCATGCATGCGACGAGAGGGTATGTATTCGTCCGACATGAATCAAACGAAATATAAAAACGGGAGCCGATCAACACCGGTTCAATGGACAACTAGATAAAAAAGCGGATCAAAATCAAAAGAAAACTTGCTTTTACCATGAAAATTTCAAATTGCGATAACTCGAAAGTAGGAACAACCAAGATTTTGATTGTTCGCGATTTTCAGTCCACACGGACCATAGACTCACCCCCTGCAAACCATTTTTGCGGAATTTTTTTATTTTATTTTTTTATTTTTTATTTTTAATTTTTTTTGTTGTTTCAAGACGTCTGTGTAGGGCAGGCGGAACCTCAAACTTTGCAGAATTACCAACATTAGTTAGACAGCCAGAATGTTACATTTTTAGGGGGGGGGGGGGGGGGGAGTGATCAAACTCACAAAAGGGCATATTTAAATCGAACGGAACTATATCCCTTCTGACATGAGCCCTGAGTTCCATAGGAATCAGTGGCGAAGCGTGAAAGATCGATTATCGATACTTCCCAATTTGAAGCTATGGTAAAGAATCGATTATTAAGGTGTTCGTTGCGAACACCCTGTTCATCGATCCTTTTCTATAGGTTTAAATGGCAGATCACTTTGTTCGAATGGTAATCCTGGTTTGTCTTTCAATAGGGTCATCAAGGATCTCCTACAATCCATCCAGTGTTCACCGATTGGAATGCCGTTTTTGGATAGAAAAGGGCTTCCGGCGGATATTTTCTGTAAAGACTTTCAAACTGATAATGCTTATCAGTGGAATGAACCAAGTTTACGACTGTTCGGTGAGGATCTCTTAAGTTATTTGTGCATGTTTGTAACTGTGACCATCCATAGGAGAGAGGCTGAAGCCCAAAAACTCTTGTATTTTAACTTATCGACTACTATTCATTGATTTCTATCGCGAAGGGCAAATGAAATGATGGATACGTCGTAACTTTTTTAATTATTTAATTAAAATGTTCCGGTTTGGACTGTTGTCCTCTTCATCGTGAGGGAAAACTTTTTGGTGGGTCATGACTCCTCGACTCCCTGGAGAGGCCAGCGGGCTGATTATTGAAATTGATAGACAAAGAAGACAAAAAGGATATTAAGGGATCCTATAGGTGGAAGCAGGTGGTTGCAATGGGCAAAGGACTATAGGTAATAGACTAACTAACGGCTACCCACGAGAGACCCGATAGTTAGTCCATCATTTACCCCCTTAGTCTATAAGAACCAACCATTTCAACCAATAGGATCGCTCTATACTCCTTATGTCTTCTTTGTCAAGCTTTGTCTATAAATTTCAATAATCGGCCCACAGGAATGGGAACACTCTCCCCAAACATCAACATTTTCAAATGGGGACCCCCACTTGTGACATAAGTTATGCCTATCGAGCGTTTCTTTTGCCCAACCCGGTGTAGAGAAAACTCGAAATTCGAGCTTTTGTCTTAACTTGACACATATCGTTCGGTGAAACAATTTGCCACTATACACTAAAAACTCTTCCCCCTTGGACGATCATTATTGGACCGAGTTTGACAGAAACTATCATTGAGTTGCATCTGGAGAAAAAATTGCGAGTAGTTTATTGAATTCAGCTGGTTGTAAATTTTCTCGTGTCCAAAATTTTAGGTCAAGAAAAAATGTTTTCTTCATGAAAATAGTCGTTGAACGTTGTTCTTAGCGTTGGGCTTTACAGAGGGGGAAAAAACATCAAACCACCTTGTTCAATTCGAACTTGATGCGACTTGATGCGTTCAGTAGCGATTCTAAAAAGTTGTTAACTCTGTTTTTGAACCGTTTAAATTTATTTAAAACAATCGATTCTTGGTGAGGCAGCTTGCCGCACCTAAAATCAATTTTTTGATGGATTTAAATGCAGGGAAACAGTGTTGCCAACTTAGAAAATCACCACCGTAGCGTTTCTATTAAACATGGCTCACTCATTAACAGGCTCGCACTAAACAACAATTTATTGATGCGATACCAAATAATAATTTACAATACACTTGCCAATTCTACCATGCTAAGGAAAAACGTCGTATGAGCATTCGAACGTTGCTAAATTTCCTCTCAGAAAATATATACTTTTGAAGACAATTATTAATATTTATCCTCGAAATTTTCGGATTTTTTTTTATTAAAATTTCGAACAAAATTCTCCGAAAAATCGGAGGAGAAATATTCACAATTTTTCTTGAAAATTCGTTTTTTACGGAGACTATTTGGCAAAGCCTGATGGCTCACACGACGTTCTTCCTTAGCAGGACAGAATTTATGTTGTCACAAAGTGTGTTGAAGTTGCGTGTTTCTCTCTGTTTCAGTTTCTTATGCAATAAACAGCAAAAAAAGCTTGGAGCCTTTAATCCAATATAATTACTTTACTATTCGCCCGTTCCAAAATCTGCTGCAGTCTGAGGCGTTTTATATGACCGGTTTCACAACTACGCAAAAAGAAATCTACAGAGCATTTATGAGCATTATTTTCATTATTTCTTTATCGAGTGAAGGTAAAGTCAATACTACGAAAAGATTAATTTGTAATCATTCAATTTCACTGTTTACTTTCTGATGAATCGAAAGAACGAAGGAAAAATATGGAACGATACAAATATTCAGGGTTGCCACAAAATTTAGAAAAGAAAATTCCCTGACATTTCTCTGATTTCTCAGACACATTTGAGTAAAATTACCTGACAATTAAAGATATGCCGAATGGCCAGAAAGACATTATTTGAAGTAGCTCCCAGATAAAATGTGTTGTTCTAGACGTTAAAACCATTCTAGAGAGCGAAAAAGGATAAATTAACAATTTTTCCCTGACACTTTCGACATTTTCAGGTTTTTCCTGACTTTTTAAAATTTCTTGACATTTCCCGGTTTTTCCGGTATTCCCTGACTGTGGGAACCCTGAATTTTGAACAAATTTGCTGCGTCCCGAAAACTTTGACAAGACGAACTCTGAGGGAGATTATCTTCATTTAAACGGAAATTCTCAAAACAATCTCTCAAAGTTGAGGTTGTAATGGAAGGGATACCCCACGCTACGTTGAGAGTCCTCCGCTACATCTAGTCAAACTTTTCATACACAGATTGGGAGCAAATACACATCAGCAGAATGGAGCCCTTGCATGTGGGGGGAATTGCAATTTACACACTCTTTCTTGTGTAAAATTTCGCGAGAAACACGATAACGCATAACTAGTTTTTGTTCTGAATCGAACTACTAAAAAGCTCAATAAACTCTCAAAGTTGAGGCCGGGATGAACAGGGTATCCCATGCTATCCTGAAAGTCCACGACTGTATCAAGTCAAACTCTCCATGCAACGATAGGGGGCGAATTGAGCAAATACATTGGCAAGGATGTCGTGTTTTCAGTTCTGGAATCCCTAAAGAGAGTGGCAACCTGCTAATGCATTTGCACCCTATCTTTACATGGAGAGTTTGACTGGATATAGACGTAGACTCTCAGGACAGCGTGGGATATCCCCTCCATTACGATCCCAACTTTGAGAGCATTTTTTGAGTTTTAAAGTTTGTTTCAGAGAAAATCAGTGGTACCATCGTGTTACTCGTAAGAAAACGTACCTAAATAGCAAATCCCCCGCACATGCAAAAGCTCTATTACCGTGTTTCTAAATTTTGAAACCCCAAACAAAACGGCAACGCTGTTAATGTATATTTGCTCCCCATCTATGCACGGGGAGTTTATGGACTTTTAACGTGATATGAGGGATTCCCTCCATTGCAGCCTCAACTTTGAGAGCTTTTTTCTGGGTTTGGGAGTTCGTTTCAAAGAAAACTAGGGGCAAAATCGTGTTTCTCGTGAAATTTCACAGAAAAAAACGCAATTAGATCAAAAACCTCTTACACGTGCAAGAGCTATATTCTGATCAGGATATAACATATTTTCTTTCAAAATGATTTCAGCGTTCAAAGAAATTGTGTCTCAGATTAAAGGACCGGACGCAGAGGACTCAATTTTAAATCTAGAGGAGGAGCTGAATCGTGTCAGCGTCCTGTATGTTATTCCGTGCAATCTATTTTACTATTCAGACAGTCAAAGCATTTTTCACTTCATTGCTCTCAGCGCTCTGCGAGTGCTTTTTCAAAACATTGATATATGCATTTGCCTGTCGCTCAAATTCAATTTGCAGGTACCGATACTTTTTTTTCTGAGTAAAAAACAGCTCTCATGTCGTTTACTGAGCACATTTTATCTTTACGAGCACACTGGAAAAAAAACACATTGGATCTAGAGTCCAAACTCTTAAAAACATCGACAAGAAAAAATACTCTTGATTCAATCAGATGTAAGCTTAAATCAAGAACCAAGCCTCTTAATTTGAGAGGATTTCCTTTTGATTCAAGCTTAATTCTGATTGAATCAAGAGTCCTTTTTCTTGTCATGTTTTCAAGAGTCTGGACTCTAGATCCAGTGTGTTTTTTTTCCCCCCAAAGCACCACGATAATGGAACTGCAGCGCTGCCATTTTCTGGAACTAATTCCGAATTGCGCAGCTTTTCGGATCAGCAATGATCGGAACTGTTCCCGGAATTCTTAGTTTTTTTCCGACTTTCTTCGGAATTTCGGGGCTTTGCATTACTTTGACCGACTACTGAATCAAATTTGATGCAGAATTTTTTCCCGGAACTTTTAAAAATCAGAATTTTTCGCGGAACTTTGGGACTAATTCCGGGAACCCCAGAATCTTTGGTAAAACAAAATGGCAGCACTGTAAGACTGTAAGAGTACATGTCCACAGTGAAACGCTCAAACCGCGTAACTCATTTGCGGTGTTTCAGAAGCCCCACTCGCTTTAAATTTTTTGAAGTATAACAAATCAACTTTATTCCTTAAAAGTTTCACAGAATTTACCTTCTATAGAGGCTAAAAATTAAGGCGATTTTAAAGAGTTGACGTCGAGTAGTTCTTCATTTAAAAAATAAAGTACGACAGAAAGTCTGCAACGTCGCAAAACCGACGTTTGGGAGTTCACCATTGATATCTTGGTTTGCAGCGTATTAGACTTTCTTGTCACCCTTTCCTTTTTAAATGAGAAAATTCAATCTGAACGTCATTTCTTGAGAACTTCCCTGATTTTTTTTCTCTGTGTCAGGAATACCTATTCTGAGGAAATTTCAAGGAATGTTATTCATCCATTCTCCTGCCATAAAATAAAATGGAGGTGAATATTGAAAAAAAAAAACAATGCAGATAAAATACGCGTTCCTGCAGTTTCATCGCTGATCAGCATTAGGAAATTAATGACTTGACGACAGTATACTATGATTCGAAGCAAGAGCATTTCTTCCGCGCAAAAATTCCATACATATTTTTTATTAATTCGATAGACATTTCCTCATACATAAAATGAACACCGACAAGGAAATTTCCAAATCACCTATCTCGGATGCGACGTTGCAGACTTCCTGTCATACTTTATCTTTTAAATTGAGAACAACTCAACCTAAATTTTTGAAAACTTTCGTGATTTTTCTTCTATGCGTGGCCCAAATTTTGAAAAAAACTTCAAAAAATAATGTTGGTTCGTTCTAGTTTTAAAAAATAGAAAAGGGGCGAAAATTTTGAAACACGTAAACGAGAATGAGTTTGAGAGCTTCACCGTCGACGTACCTTCTGTTCAGTTTTAAAGCGTCTCGTGTTATAAATGGATGTATTTCTGCCAAACGGAACTTTGTGCATTGTGACGCGAGCCCTGTTGCATGTATCCTTCTGGGTCTCAGAGCTTATGTCTCAATGCACATAGTTCCGTTTGGCAGAAGTGCGTCCAAATATTATTTGAAAAAGCCAAAAATCATCTCCAAAAAAGCATGGGACATAGATCTATCAGTAAAAAATATTTTAAATCTTTGCGAAATAAAAAGCACCGTGATTGGTGTTAATTTTTGTAAGGTAGCACTAGACGATAATAAAATCTATCCTTCTATCCGTGGCATATTGGTTAGCCTTCATGATTAATGCGAGTTTATGCGTGAAAAGCATCTGATAGTAACATTTCGGGGAAAAACTAATGTGAGCTCAGTGGTAACAGTAGCGTGGCGTGAATTGCGATGTATCGATTGTTGTGCCATTTAAACCTATGGTAAAGAATCTATTATTGAGGTGTTCGCTGCAAACACTCTATTTATCGATCCTTTTCCATAGGTTTAAATGACATAACAATCGATATATCGTAATTCACGCCACGCCACTGAGTGGTAATTAGACAAACAAAAATATCTGATGTGAAAAATAATCTCATAGTCTCATACTCTTGATTTTTCTTACTAAGAGCCAATCAAATATATCGATAAAAAATTTAAGTAGATTTAGTGGTAATCGAAAGAAAATGTTGGTTTCAAATAGGAACGAATGACTGATATGGAGAACTTTGCGACAAACAATTTCAAAAAGTCTCGGGAAATTATAATTGATGAGTGCAGTCTCCTGCGCAATGAACTGAATAACTTGTCGTGCTGTCCAGGAATATACTCTTCTTCACTAACTCACTCGGAAAGTTTGCAATCCGAGCAGAAATTCAAGACAGCCGTTCAAAAGCGAAAGCAGCTCAACGATTTGAACAAATTCCTACTCGATACAAAAAAAGGTTTGCATGATTTAGGATGGCTGAAAAATTTGCGGAAAACATTTCTCAGCACCCTCAAAGATGAAGTGAAGGCAAGTATGAAAATTTTGATGTAGACTTGACGGTTGCTTCATACGAAAAACGTTTGTAATTTTAAGAGTGAATAGTAATATGAAAAAATCCAAAACTGACTAATATGCTGACTACATGAGTCTCTATCATTTCAAACTAAAAAAAAAAAAAAAAAAAAAAAAAAAAAAAAATGGAAAATAGTGAAAGTAGGGGATTCAGCAGAAGAAAAATATCACTGAGAGAATAGTTTGAGATTAAATCACGTCCTGAGAACTATGACAGTGTACAATTGCACATTGTAATGTTTTCAAAATTTTCAAAGATGTGACCAGATCAACGAATAGGGGCCTTAAAGTCGAAAAATCTTTAAATTTTGGCGCAAGGATGATCCTAAAAACTCCAGAATGGTAGGAGATTTTAGTTTTTAAGTTCCAAAACAAAAATTATTAGGTTGTAGAATAACGTAGTTTCAGCTTTTGCGAGAAGTAAAGGAAAATTCTCTCTCGGGTCCCTTTCCATAAATCCGGTCACAAATCACTATATCACTAAATTATAAAGCAACAAAATTGACTCGCATAAAAACAAAATTAAACTCAGGGCCTCTTTCGGTTGACGCGGAGACTTTAACGCAAGAGTAGGAAAGTTGGATGGGGCGCAACACGTGATACGACTACTTCGACATCTAAATAGGTACAATTGCGTATTCGGAAAGAGTAGAACATGATCTCATTTTTGCTGGCTCGGCGACTTTAACGCAGGAGTAGAAAAGTTGGATAGGGCAAAACACGCGAAACAACTAGTTTGACTCCCAAGTAGGTAAAATTGTACATCCACAAAATGAAGGAAAACATGGTGTTCTAAATCATCCCAACTATTCGGGTCGGCAAACCTACTTTCAGTTCGTGTAGCTAAACGTTCGGTTCGTATAACCGAACTTGTGAGGTAAAAAGAACTGTTGAAAGAAGTTCAGTTACATGAACTGAACGTTCGGTTACACAAATCAAAAAATTGGTTTGACAAACCGAATGGGACACCGAACGCTCAGTCAGTTTGACAGAACTTTATTTTCCAGTATATAAATCGAGGAACGGCAAACAAGCTACAAACCCTGACTCTGACGTTACCTTAAACCAAACGAGAATATACGTCATAAAACAAGGTTCGAGATAATTGTTCATGATTGAAACTCAACTTGTTTTCAAGCATTTTCCGAAGGAGTCATACACAATTCCGTTCTCTAATGAGATCGGACTTGAGGTTGCTGCTTGGATTTCATTACAAATTAATGGTGTTAAAAAGTAATTACGTTGGAACGTTTTTCAGTGTTCTACTGTCTTGGATATTGTGGAACAGGTGTCAAAATGTGGCGGTTACCTTGCGGGTAAAAGCATCCAATGGTCTCTTTTGGAGAAAAAATATTTATCCAAATTATCGAAATTTGATGAGATGGCTGTATCTCTAGTTTTAAGGTAATGTTATCCTTTCATGTTTTAATTCATTTAAATCGAATGAATGGCGGAATCAAACGAAAATGAAACTTTCACGACATTTTTCTTTTGAGTAACTTTACCAGTCAGTTTTCAAAACCTGTCACTGGTAAGAAAAGGCTTTGAATTTTTATCGAGCACACTTTCATAATGATTTCGAGATGCACATTAATTATTATTATTTTTTTTCTTTTTCTAAATGATCTTGAAATTATCTTAAGCGTTTTTTTAGACCAAAATTTGAGCTACAGTTGATACAGATCTTTTCTGAACTCGAAGTGGAAAAAATAATATTTCGTCTGAACTTCTGTGGTAGATTAATTTGAGAAAATAAAAGACGGAATGTTTTGCAGGTACGGAGAGAAGAATAATTTGCTGAACGAAAACAAGGATAATAAGGAGAACTATGTTCAATTTCTAAGTCGTTGCGAAACGTATTTTACACCTCCCCCCGAAAATTCCGTTCAATTTGACTGGTTCTCGGCGACAGTTTTTTTAATTTGCTCAGGAAACATAGATCGGTGAGTATATTTTAAAAAAATTCTGACATTTCATTTCGTCAATTAATTGAATTCTTTGTTGAAAAAAGATGTAACAGCCACCATTTTCAAAATTAAGCTGTTGAATTCCTGTCATTTCAGGATAAACGTGGCATTATACGGAAGAATTTGATAAAAATATAAAATTGTTTTCTAAATTCATTTATTTTTAAAAAAATGTATTCCTAATTTGATGAGGGGAAAATATAGAGAGTTCGGCTTCCTTCCTAATGCAGAGTGTTTCTGAAGGTTGAAAATATCAGTGAGCGCGTTAAAACATGCTATCTAATGATGTGATTGCAAATTCATTCTTTTTTACTGTAATCATTGCACTGGTCAAGACGGCAATCTACCAAAAGTTTACAATTGTAATTACTTGCCTAATTCATTTGATTCTGCTACCGTGACCACAGTTTTATTACATATGTTGATGGTCTCAAGATTATTCTTAAATAGTTACAGTTCTTTCTTAGTTTTTGTAAACTTAACTCTTGGTAATTAGGCCCTTTCAAAACTAAACAGTTCAATTGGGTAGTGGAAAGGAATTTTTGCAAGAATATAATACAGTTTTCAAGTATTAAAGTTTGTGAAAAATAAAAAAAGTTCATTGAGAAGTTCAAAACAGCATTTTTGACAAGAGTAAAAGCTATGACTATAATAAAAGCCGACAATCGAGTTGATGTAGCAAGGCGATGCATGAAGCTCAGTTCAGCCAATCAGCAAACACAGTTTCTATCCATCTGGCTACATCATCAAAACCCACCAAAAATATAGATTCAAACAGGCCCCATTTTGGGCATTTTCAAAACGGGTTTTTTTTACCAATTAGGGTTAAAAAAATTTGAAAAGTTCCCAGAGCTTAGTTCACTATCCGTGCTTTCAGAAAATGAATTTAAAGAAATAGGTATCACTGAGCCATTGAGAACCCATTAAAAAACCCAGTATATACAGCCTCGAGATTCCGTTCTGACTATCTATCGACGTACTTTGTTCCTTACAGGAGTTTACAGATTCTATCATTATTATCAGCTTTTCCATCTACTGTGTACTCTTGGCTACAACTGGCTGGGAAAAGAGGCCAATCGTGGAGCATGTTTGGTCAACTGATCGAGTGGTTGTTGTCTGCTGAGCTACCTAAAATATACTTCCTCTTCCAGGTAAGATTTTAATGTCTCATTTGGAGTGAATTGTAACTCAGAAGTTTCTCTTAGTTTAGATATTAGATCAACTGGCCCAACCCCCTGAGGGCGCAAATATGATAATGATGCATGATGATTTTCAGATTCATCTCCTCTTTTTAAATAATTTGTGCTATTTTTTATTTAATCAAAAACACCGTACGATGTGACTTCAACTATTTTTTGCAGACAAAGGGAGTTTCTTGGTGGTTGGTTTACCAGTCTTGGATGAGGCAGTGTTTCTTAAATCAGCTGCAATGGAACGAGATACTCCAATGGATTCTCCTCATAGTTCTTTATCCTGTTGACTTTCAGATTTATTATTCAATCAGTGTTTTGAAATGCTCCCAAGAATCACTGCTCCTGTCTGATCAAAATGACAATTTCTTTGATGCTTTGATGGTGAGTTCGGTCGAAAAACTTCTCAGTCAAACTTTAATTGTTACTATTTATTTTTGATAAGAAAACGGAAAAATTCAATTCAACCTGGGAATCAATCTTCAGGAATCCAGAAGCTCAAGTCAACATTGATAAGAGGAACGGAAAATCACAAAAAAAGTAAAACTATTTACTGAAAGTGCAACGCCCTATATGAAACCATGGAGTGAGAAACCAAATGCATAAATTTTATTGAAAGTATGTCTAATATATGAGAAAAAGTTTATTCGCTTTTTTTCTTAAGAACTGCCTTGTTTCTAAATAAATTGTAGTCTAAATTTTGGACAATTTACCCCTGATAGGGTGTCTACCTAAATATTTGTTTCCTTCTCCCTGACTTTTCAGATATTCTCTGAATTTTTTTTTCAAATAGAAAGAGGTGAAAAAAGAAATACAGCTCAGTGCAAAGTACAGGGGTGGTAGGGACTTGAATTCTCGCGAGAAAAATTCACTCCAAACCAGGAGAAAGCGCTGCAGGGTTCTGTATCAAAGCGCCGTGAAGTTATGCAAAAAATGACAATATTATGCAAGAGTTAGCAACACTCCCGGTTAAGTGTTTTCTCTGTCTGACTCTCCTTGACCAATTTCATCTCTCTGACTTCTGCTAAGACGCCTGTTTTTCTCGATCACTAGACAACTTACATGGTGCTTGTCATTCTTGCAGCGTCTTACTCCCTGAAATTTCCCTGCAATTAGGAGGGAAATTTTTGATGAAAACTTAAGGTTCACTCTCATCTTCTCTCAGATTCTTGGGACTTTGTATGCAGTTTTTTTATATTTTTATAGAAATTTGAGAATGATTTTACTAGAGAGCAGTGCCAAGATGTCAACTAAAACAGCATCTTAGATTTTCCTGAATTTTAAACCAAATTTTTTTATTTTTAAAAGAAAAATTGACACTTGTTTGATTTATATGTAACACGCCAACATTTTTGATAAATTCAGTCAAATGTTTCAATTTTGCATCTGCTAAACTGTATGAGGTTAGAAAACGTTTGAGGTACTAGGAGATACCTGATCCAAGACCAATTCCCTGATATTTTCCTGATAACATCAAGTTTCCAGATATTTTTTGGTTTTTACAGGTGGTATATGGTGGACACTCTGACCTTATTACTCCACAAATGAGTAATATAAATTTGTTATTTTTTCAGGGTGTGATGCACAATTATCATTTGGGAGATCAAGCCAGATATCTAAATCATCTCCATAAAAAATATTCCACATTTTTATCACAAAATCTTCAGTGTACGGCTGACTATATATAGCCTCCCAAGCTTTGAAAAAGATTTATCGATCATCGCAAGCTGCAAGCACCTGTTAGTATGATGAACCACAAAAAAAAGTGCACATCTAAGCAATCCGATACATGTCTCCTAAGTAAAATTTCAAATAGAATACAATTTTAACTAAAAGACAGGGTTGCCACAGAATTTAGAAAATGAAATTCCTTGAAATTTTCCTAATTTCCCTGACGCATTTCGGTAAAATTTCCTGACAGTTCGAGTTATGCCAGATGGTTACAAACACATCATTTGAAATAGTTTTCTGGCAAAGTTTGTTGTTCGAAACGTGAAACCCATTCTAGAAAGCAAATATAGGCTAACGAAACAATATTTTTTCTATCATTTTCCCTGACATTTCCAGGTTTTCCCTGACTTTTTAAAATTCTCTAGCATGTACCAGTTTTTCCAGTATTCTCTGACTGTGGCAACCCTGTAGATAAATACGTTTCTGTTCAAGGACTTTACCTGAAATGGTTTCATAAACTGTCACCTAGATCACTGTTTAAGTGCTTGATTCCACTTGTAATATGGTTGGTTCTTTCTTCTGACCTGACTTGAGACATAAATTTCTCAAATTCATCTTCTTCAGAGTCTACATCCATGTTGCGCACGGAGCCGGTCTCTGGAGTTTCAGAGTCGAAATACTTGTCCTCAGCATCCTGATTCATTGTTTCAATATCATCGAGTTCAGGATTGCAATCAACTTTACTGGAATAAAAAACTCGGTGGTAAAAAATGTAATTATGACATTATGAATATTTAAAAATAAAAAAAGATCACAAAGATACTGAAGATGTTTCAATTCTGGAGATAGTAAGTATTTAGTATTTTAGTTCCTGAATATCAGTGATGAACATTTCAATTCAGTGGGATGAAATTTTCACTCTTAAAAAAGGTCGACTTGAAAGTGTGCGTCTGAGGTAATGAACCCAAGGGAGAAAAGATACAAATAGAAAATTTCAATCTAGTATGCTTGTAAGACAGCTTTAATCTGCGGGGGAAAACGTCTAATACAGCCTATGCATTTACATAAAGCAGGAAAGAGCTCTATTACTATAAGCTCAATGGACCATTAGACAAGGTACGAATTTCAGCATTCTGAAACATGTTTCTCAACCAAAATTTCACGTAAAACACAATGCGCACAACGAAAATAACCGAAATCAACTCCTTACGAAGATAATTAATGATTCTTGATGCGTAAATTCAAACCACCCGCTCATGAAAACTCAATGCTCTACAAGATTCACATCGAGCGCTAAACGTTATCATGACAGTCTCTGCGATACAAAAATCTGGCAACCTCAATCTTGACACTTTGGCTCAGCTATAGCAAATTGCCAATAGTTTGAACAACACATGGGGGAAATGGACATTGCTCGATTGAGAAGCTTGCTGAAACCGTTGTAGTGCGCGATTTGACTCACGTAGAGCTTTGAGTTTCTTGTGAGCGGGCAGTTCCAATTCCTCGTAACCAATGTGAAATAAAAACGTTAATATCTTCGTTATGAGTTGGTTTCAGTAATTTTCGTTGTGCGCATCGTGTTCTACGTGACATTCTGGTTAAGAAACATGTACCAGATTACTTAAATTCTTACCTTGTATAGTGATCCATTATTACATAACGACAATGAAACTCCCAAACAATATATTTCGTTTGCAATGTTAAAAATCTGTGCTTATACTATGTGTTTTAAAAGAGAACAAATAAACACCATTCTTTGAATTTTTCTTCGTTCCCAGAGAAGAAAAATCATGGATTTGTTTGAGAATTAATGGTGGGCAGCTTAAAAAATTAAGTACTTAGGTGTAAATTTGCTACAGGGTTTGTTTGTTAGAAATTTGACTGCATTTTGCTATAAGGAACCAATATTTCAGGCTCATTTTGGAAGCAACACATGTGCCATTAGTTTTTTTATGCTTGATAAGTGCTTTTATAGATGAGTTGGAAGTGGTGGTTCCTTTTCCCAAAATGTAGTTTAATTGGTCAAAGAAGAGATTATTAAATCTGGAATCCAGATAAAGCTAGAGTGCTATAGGGTAGTTGATCTCAACTGTGTCTCAGAAACACTAGATATGAATCTTACCTGTAATCAAAGTCGGAGTCCTTTCCTTGAAGAAAATTTTCAAACATGTTATTGCGAAACTCGTCAAAGAGAAGAGATCTCTCTTCATCTGAGATTTCGTTGGACGAGGAGGCCTTAGCGCCTAGCTCGCAGGTACTTTTGATCCAATTAGCTCTTCCGATTGGTGCCTCTTTTTTTACACCGCCCATTTCGCCCCATAAAATCTTCTTCTCGGCTGGAGTGACCTTTGAAATAGAGCTGGGGGTTGGCTTTGTCTTGTTTGCAGATTCTTCCTCTTCATCAGACGTGTCCTCCTCTTCTTCAGCACAATCTTCATCCTCCTCTTGAGTTTTTTTCAGTTTTTCTAAGTCTTCCCGATCCATTTGCTCCATCAATAGATTAACAATACTGTTAAGGAAGAAGAAACATTTATCACTCAACCAGATGGCAAGATGAATCCTCTGTGGAGATACTCACTAAGAGAGCATTTCCAAACTACATAGAAAACATTAAAAAAATCAAACAGTCCATATACCTACTAACAAAAATGCCTAAATACAAAATATGATTTGATTTACTGCTTCCTGCATGAGTGACTTAAATGGGGAGTGACAATAGTTAAGATGAACGCACATGGAACTAAACGCATTTACAAATTCATAAAAGTGCTGAACAGTGACTTTTCAAGGAGAAAATATCAAGTGCTCGGACACAAAAATTGATTAAAATAGTTGCAAGCTTGAGGACTTTTTTTGGTAAAAGGGCGAATACGGCTTACAATGCTGCTAAGATTGAGGAATATTTTACAGCGTTTCCAGGAGATGAAATTCATTCATAGTCGACTTACTTCCTCACAATGGTGAGAAAAACTTGGAGCAAATTCACGGAAAAATCATGGCAGAGCTGTCTGATAAGTTACTTACAACTGGAGAACTACTTTACACAATATTAGCAGCATTGGAAGCCTCATACGTCCTTTTACGGAAAAATGCCTCAATTACATAAGAATACAAGAAACTTGTGGGTATGAGAATATATTTTAACTTTCAAGCATTGAAATGCAAAAAAGAGATTTCTTAATATAAATCGTGAAAAAATCACTTAGGTTCATACTCGCCACCATAAAAAGACATAATGAAGAGGAATCAGTCTATACATCAGACGTTGCCTGATTTCCTTTCATACTTTGTTGTTTTGACAGAAAAGTAATCAACATTCCGATTAGAAATTTCTTCAGTACATTCTTTGAAAGTCAGGCGAAATGTAAGTACAGTTTTAGAAAAAGTTTCCAGGCATTACGTTGTGTGGTTCTCGGTTAAAAAAAATAAAACTTGGGAGGCAATTTGGTTAAATCTGTCCAAAAAAACAGTACCTACGAACAACGACAAGCACTTTCGAGTTTTTTTCGAATTAATCAGTTGGCATCCTGTGGTGTAGTGGTTGTAGCGCTGCCCCTATGACCAACAGGTCCCAGGTTCGATTCCTGGCCAGGTGATCTGAGTTTGATGGTCTCAGGCAATGGTCACCTGGAGCTGGGGTAATAACAGAGACAAGAGGCCCTCCACTAGTATCTTGGCCATGGTGGAAGCTTTTACTTTTGGGACTTCAGCATTCTACTGTTGACTTACCTACATGGTTGATGTTCAACAACGTGTTGACAGTCTCGTTTCACAAACAAGCCGAAAATGGCCGACGTTTGAGAAAGTTGTTTGGCTCATGACGTCATCCGAAGTTCATCATCGACCGTGTAGGTAAGTCAACAGCCGAAACTAGGGTGATGACTGTTGCTCCCTAATAATTTTCCATAAGGAATTGTTGAAACCCCGAAAGTGAAAGCTTCCACCTGTCGCTAGGAGGCCAGTGGAGGGTCTCTTGTCTCTGGGTAATGAGCGTGTGATAAGCCGATAGACTATTTGAAATTGGTAAAAAAAAAAAAAAAAAAAAAAAGTCTCTTCCTTTGGTAATATTATAATTAATGCAATCTTTGTTACAAAAAATTAATAAAACTTACGTTATGTTACTGGTGTCGATTTCTTCCCGCATTCGTTTTTCTTCTTCGGACAAATACTGGCCCACAAGCTGCTCATAGAGGAGTGGGTTTCTCTTGCGCATTTCTTCCTCACTAAAGTACGTGCCTTCTGTGACCATTTTCTTGAGGGCATCAAATCGACGATTTTTAATGCACATCTGTAATTATAAAGAGACATCAATTACATGAACTGATGGAAGTGACGTGAAATGGAAGACACAGATGATGGCAACATTGGGTCAAAGGCCAAGTTTTGTTTGGGTCACTTCTGATCAATGGTGCTATCTAAACAACTGTATTTGGCTGTTGAGTAGTGTTTTCCCAGAGCTAGTCAGGGATAGATTTTTTCTCAACATGCAATGAGCTCGCTTTTGAAAATCTATATAGATACATACATAATGGAGGAAAACAAGTGCAAAATGGAAAATATTGAGACATCGCAGTGTGACAAATTGTAAGAGATACTTCTAGCGAAGACTGACTTCCACAATTTTTTTTTTTTTAAAAATAGCTTTTATCAATAAGAACAAATGAAAAAAAAAGCTTGCAGTACTGCGAACGCTGATACATTTCTTTCTAGTCTCACTACTAGTACACTTAGCAGTCACAGTTTGATGCAAGACCTGCATCGAACCGTTACTTGATATGAATGACTTGTCTAACATTGTAACTTATATTTATGCAGCAATTCCTCAACCTACATTCCATTTAAGTGCAACAAGTCAACAGCCAAGACCAAAAAGTGCATTTCAACGGTGCAAGTCCGCAACCACATATATCGTTTGCGGTGTCTGAAAATCTGTGCCTCTATGTTATTTTTTTAAAGGAGAACAAATTGACATCACTCCTTGAAGTTTGTGCAGAATTTTCTTTGCACAGAAAAGAAAAATCACAGCGGTTTTAAACAATTGCCAGTGTGTAGTTTTCCATTTAAAAAATAAAGTATGACAGGAAGTCTGCCACATCGCAAACCGAGTTATGTGATTGCCGACTTACACTGTCGATTTCTCTGATGCGACATTCCAAAATCTCCAAGCATATTTCACTCAATTACAGGAAAACTAACCAAATTATTTCCTAGGAATTTTGGAAGGATGATTTTGAATAAGAGAAGAAAAACAAGAGAATTTTAAAGGAAACTATCGGTTAGCTTCCTTGAGCAACACAAAACATGAGGAGAACTTTCTTGACTACGGCCATGGAAATGCGTAATACACTTACTTTCGAGGCTTTCTTCTTCAAATTTTTTCTAAGTTGTCTCAGGTAGAAATCGACTTCATACTGTTCCGCTTCATTCGGTTTGCTGAAAAACTCAAGGTGTTCTTGACACAAGTGTTGTCCGAACTTGGACAGGAATAGACCATGGCTTCGGTTCAGAACATCCTCTACAATCTTCCTCTTTTCAGTATCCTGCAGCTCAGGGTCCCCGATTTGTTGGCTTTTAAAGTGGACTCCTTCACTTGAAACAACCTGATCTATAATGTTTTTCTGCTGATCTGCCAGAGAAGAACAACGACTGGTGTCAACAGCGGATGATCCAGAAGCTGGGTCTTCACACTCCATGAGATTTCCTTAGAAATTGCAACAAAACATGCACAATTTTAAACTCAACACAGGTTAGCATCGAAATATAGAACTCAAACGCAGGGATTCACATGCTATAAAAAACTTGGTGTGATAAAATGATAAAATTGTAGCGAAACAATCTTGCAAAGGAGCATGACAAAAATCAAGCGCTGAGGTAAACAATAAACTAACCTCAAAAGATACACGATGCGCTGTTGTCAAATTCTGTTATGACATATTTTTGTTTTGGCAACGCTGGGAATTTGTTTTGTTATGATTTTGCTGACAACTGATAAACTGATAGCAGAAAGCAGAGTCATGTTCATGTTGCTCAAGAAACGTGGGACTGGGACTGACTGGGACGTGCGATGCGAGGCCCGCATGCCGCATCCTGTCCGTATGTACATACGTGACCTGAACCTGATTATCCTGTCAGAGATATCGTCAATTTGACAGTCCTTAATACATTAGGTATCCAAGAACCTGATCACCGCAGACACTGTTCTCCTGTTTTCACTGAGTTTAGAATATTTCACTAGAAGTCATTCAGCGTACAGATTGATCTCCCAAGTAGTCAATTCTAATCTTGTCCTTCTTAAAACGGGTAAGTCTTACTCAGGCACTCGCTTATTCTTGTAAGCATCCAAACAGGTTCTCAAACGAGACTAGTTGAGACTTGCTGTTTTTAGTTTGGTATTTACAGGGAACGCAAAAATCTAACACCCTAATAGCAGTGGCTGTTGAGAATAAGTGTGAAATACTCTAAAATTCTACCACTTACTTAAAATTACGTCCAAAAAACTCTTAAAATCTTCGTGTCAGGAAACCCTTTTTGGGGCTTTTTTTACGTAAAATTGAAGAAAAATTATAAGTGGATTTCAGTAAAATTTACCAATTTTTTCTTGTAAACTTCCTGCGGGCAAAAACAAGGACAAAAAAGTGGTGAACAGAAAAGAGAATTTAGAATGCTAAGTTCCTTCCCACTCGTTTTGGTATGCCAGTGATCATAGAGCTCGCGCATCGCATGTTGAGACAAAAGTCAAAGTATTGTTTATGTCACCATTCACCAGTGGTGCCACCTGACTGCATGTATTAACCTGTTGAGTGGTGCGAATTCAGAGCTAACCGGAGATTGACGTTTGTCTCAACATATAATGCGCGATCTCCGATTGTGAGGCGTCTTGTCCCAAGTCAACTGAATACTTATTGCTTGTAGATTGTTGTTAACATATCAATGAAAAAATAAAAGGAAAAGTTGCAGCCCATAAAAATTGAGGATATACTTTGTTGTTTTTCACCTAAATTTTATGTTTCCTTTAATTAAAATAGCACTATTTTTTATTTAAAAGAATTCCCCAAAAGGGTTTCCTAAAATGGGTATTTTAAGAGTTTTTTTACCTAAACGCAGATGCGTCTTGCACTAATATTCCGCTAAGTCTTTCACATCTTTGGGAGGGGCTGAGTAGTTTTCTAGAGGAGGGGGATTAGAATCAGTATCTAGGATTAAGGATTGAAGTTCAAAGTTGTGATGTTCCTCGGGAGAAATATGATGATTGCACTCTCAAAGCTTTTTACTTTCTCGCTCCCCTTGTGGGTAGAGGAAGTATTGTCATCCAAAAAAAAAAGTTGAAATTTCATCATTTTTCTTCTTATCTGTGTTCTACAGACACTGTTCTCACGATTGACAAGGCTTAGCTGGATTCTTATATTTCAATCTGCACAACTAAGTTCATCATGGCTGCATCTAATGCTGTCTCCAGGGGTGGAGACTCGAAACCAGTCATTGTTTTACTATCCTTGAAGCAGCATTCATTCTGGGATGAGATGTATGCTGAGCTAATTCCGAAGTTAAACGCTCGAGCGACAGTTGTAACCCTGAAGGATACTGAAGAAACAAAAGAATATCTGACAAACCACACCATCACTCCATCCGCTATCATTGCAACAGATGAGGCTGTATGCACGAAGAAGCCAAATTTAACAAAGAGACTCAAAATATATGTTGAAAATGGTGGCACACTAATCTTGGCAACTCTTTTCCCAAGTTTTGTTCGACCCAATAATCTCAAGGATTGGTTTGAAGAAATGTGGAACTTGCCTTGGGAAACTGGTAACTACCACCGGGCAAACTTTTCGCCTAATCCTAGTCGTTTGCCAAGTCGGCTGATAGATAGTAAACTGCCTGGAGTATATAGTATGAAGGCACTTTTTTTGAAAAATGTCCCTCCAGAAGCAATGGTTTATAAAGAATCTCCCAAAGATAATGAAAGTCCTGTCGTGTTTGCCTCGATTGGTAAAGGCTGGCTTGGGTACATTGGCGACGTAAATACTGAGCCTCAATCTGGAGAAATACTAATGGCAATGTGTGGAATTTAGGCCGGTAGCGACTACTAACATGTCTAATTTACTTGAATAATCCGTCAAGTATTGATTAATTTTGAACATTCCTGAAACCAATGTTACAAATTTATTTTAGATATTATTGAGTACTCTTACTTTTCTGAAGTAAAACGACTATATATCACTTCACTGCCTAGTTTAATTGATGAAAATGACATACTTTAGTGTTAACATTACGGGTTTTTTTTGTATTATTTTTATTTGAATAAATGGTATTAATATTTTTAATCTTTAATATATTTTTGCCCGTTTTCCTCTTATACTTATTATGAATGAGTGTTTAAAAAGTTAAAAAATAGTTGATCAGAATAAAAACGTCATGGGAAATGGAAAATTAAACAAGTTTTATATTGCATTTAAAGACTACCTCTCTTCAAAAATCACAGGAGAATGATTGCGTGATGTTGGTGTGCTGATTTTATGAGCTGTGTTCAAAAATGGGGAAATGTTTCATCTTCGGCCAAAGTGATTAGTATCAAAAATCATGCTCATGAAATTTGATCAAAATACTAAATTTCAACTTTTATACCCGCATTCCGGGGAAAACTGCATTCCAATTTTATTTGTCAGATGACCAGTCAAACTTTCCGACTGAATTTCGAAAGAATTTCTAGGGCTTAGCCAACAAAGTAAATTGGAAAAAACTCTTCTCACCTTTAGAATGCACACTTTTGAATAGTGAAAATCATCGAGTGCTGTCTCTACTTAATCTTTTCCTTTTTTTTATCATGGTTCCAAAATGACATGGTATTCCACAAAGATCTGTCATGATGGTCGTAGTTCAGAAAATCACAGTTGAAGTTCTGCTGGACTGGACCACAGGAATGAAACTTCATATTGCACCATAAAAATGACAGTTATCATCAATCAATGCTGCACTCATAAGATTTAAAATTTTTGGACCAAATTCTGAATATAACTTATTAATAACTGCACCATTTAACTTTGGAGTATTTTAGTATTTTACACGGTAGCTAGAAAGTTTTCGCTGACAGCACTACCTAACCTCAATGTCAACACACTTCTTACCTCACATCTACTCATTTTTTAAGGTTATGTTTACAATGTGTCTCGAGCTTGGAAAATTCAAGTTCTTGTCCTACAAGAACAAGTTTTTAACATGTTTCCAAGTTAAAACTGATATTATATTCATAGCTGCTGAGTGACTATTTTTCCTTTAAAGTTTAGTGTTACTCTTAACCAGTTTTCGAAATCATCCCGTCCAAACATCTCTCAGAATGAGCCTGCTGAAACTTCGAACTTTATCTTCCGTTCTGCATGTAGGACATCAGTCATTTCCGAAGTATTCCAATTTGCTTCAAAATGAGTGCATTTCCCCAATATCATCCACATTTGACAGTAGGCATTTATTTCATAGTTTTTCCATCAGCAAAAATGACAATCTGCTCGATCGGACCACCACATCGTCGAACATCATCAAAAGGAATATTACCACTGGAGAGAAAGAACCTTTCTTACTGGCTTCAATGCGGTTTTTCATGGAATCGCCACTTGTGCAACCTGTGGAAAACTTCATTATTCAGTTTCACGATTCCGTAGGTTTACATTGGTGGTCTTCTATAGTTGTCATGACCATTGGTGCAAGATTTCTGGTGACATCCCCGCTGTATGTATATCAGGTATCTATAATGGCTGCTTTATTTTGTCCGCTCAAATTTTTATCGTATGCCTTGTTTAATCTAGTGAGTCATATACATTATTATTGTTTACATGGTACTCAGTGTTCGAATCTTATTGAGAAATTTTACTGGCCAATTTAGCCCAACATCCAGGGGCCGAAATGTTTTTTTCTGAAATAATTTGTGATGAGAACGGAATGTCTTTTGGCACCCTAGAATTGGGCTTTTCCTTACTGATCACATTCTTTCATAACTTCCTTTTACCTAATTAAATCCTTGTTCAGAGGTCCCAAATAGATGTTAAAATCAATTAAAAAAGTTTTTTTGGGTTCCAACGTTTTTGTAGCCAACTGACTGTAAATATTTAGGCGCATTATGCGCACAGCGCCTGCTGGATTTGAACACTAATGGGAGGAATGTCTCCTAGATTTTTTACATCCATCAGGCAATATCAACATTTTTTCAAAGATAATGATATCCTCTTGCTTCAGTCTAAACTTTGCTTTATGAGGAAAATAGACATTTATTGGCAGACGTACTTATTGATAAGAATTCAGACAAAACTGTTGTCGAAGACAGTTATTTACCATACCTATGCTCCTCCTCAAAAATTTATCTCTTCCTTCTCCGTCATGGATTTTTCTTCTTGATCTATTGCACTTATGTATGTTGCATTCTATATAATTTTTCACAGCTTTGTTGGTTTTATCATATAGAAGCACATTACATTAGCTAGAACTCCTTTAAACTATTCATCTTATCTCTCTTTTTTCCACAGCAATACATTTTTGCGAAAGTTGAACTCATCGAACAACTGATGCCTCCTATCGTAGAGAAGCTTAAAAAAATAGCCAATTCAAATGTGGCACGCCTGGGAGGGAACGCAAAACGAGCACAAGCTTACTATCAGAGGCAGGTAAGTTGATATCTTCACCTTTTGGCCAAAGTGTCACAAGCACCATGCGACGTTTCAAAATTTCCGCCGCCATTTTATTTTTTTACAGAGAAATTGTCGGTTGAATATGTTTTAAAATTTCCCTGAATTTTATCGGCAGCACAAAGAAAATTCAGTGAAATTTTCGGACAGATTCATTGAGCAATTTCTTTGTAAAACAATAAAATGGTGGCGGAAATTTTGAAACGTCACATGGCGCTTGTGATACTTTGGCCGGAAAGTGACAGTATCTAGTCTTTCTATGTACCATCGAGGAGTAAGCATTAGATATAAGATATTTGTGCCAAGCTGTGATCTAAAATACAGACTAAGTTTCAAGTTTAGAAACTTTTTCATAATGACACTTCAAGTTTTTGAAGCATGCATTGTAAATATCTAAGAAATATAATGCTACCCCGGAAAATGAAGATCATTGAATTTGTTGGTAAAAATAAGTAGCTCGGAATTTACAGAGGCTAACAATTTTTATACTGCTGTGAGCACATCTTTTCTTTTTCTCTGATGCAATCTCCTGTTTTCTGTCGCTGGTTTTTATTCTTGGTTTTAACTCACCAGAAGTGAAAATTGATTTCATTTATGATCGTCGTAGACAGAAAATACAAGCTAGACCACACAGGTAGCTTGTCCAATGAGATGATAGACAACCCGAAATAAATGTGATGCCAAGTATGAGTCATGATAATACATGTGGTACCACATATGAGTCATGATAATACATGTGGCACTAGGTATGAGTCATGATAATAAATGTGGTACCAGATTTAGTCATGGTAATACTCGTGGTACCAGGTATGTGTCATGATTTTAATGTTTCGTTTGATCCTCTAAAATCACTGTGACTTGATTTGCATCAGGTTGGGGCTGAGTGGAATAAACTAATCATTAAACATAATTGTCACCCATTCAAAGGAAGCATTGTCTTGTTGGTTCAAATTCCCCTCTGGCTGTATATATCCGCGGCTCTTAGAAATATCATGGCAGCTTATCCAGCAGATGATCCAGGTTAGTTTTTACTGTCACGACTGTTTCAAAAAAGTTTGTACAAGGTACTATTGAACCCATTTCAAAATGTATTGCTCTCCGATGAATGAGTATGCAGGTTTTGAGATCACTGTCTTCAACTACCAAATTGAGCTGGTTTAATGTTAAGTATAGAGCCGGACTTGTAGTTGTTCCGAAAACAGCTCCTTTCTTTAGGAGGCCTTATAAGGTTTATCTCATGACTGAGGAACGTTTTGGGAAATTCTAAAAATGACACCATGAAAATGACAATTTTAAATCTTAAGCGAAATTCAACTTTAAAACTTCAGAAACAAATCGTTGCAAGGGATTATATGCTTTGTCACTGCATAAAGTAAAAATGTAAGAAAGAACAAATTGCTATAATTTTAACAAACTTTTAGGTGTGTATAACCCTACCTTGAAATTTTCAAAACTTGCAGAAAATTTTCTTTTGTATCTTCAACTTTTTATAGCGGCGAATCATGGTAATTCCTTGCACTGGTCTAGCTCCAAAGTTATACTGTTGAATTTTACCGGAGATCCGTTAAATTGAACCTTTTATGGTGTTATATTAAGGATCTCCACTAATCACGGGGTAAACCATTTGGTTGTCTTCACCTTTGACTATATCTCCTATTCTCCTGATGTATCAACAGCATTGTGCATAGACCTCAATACTTTGATTGCATTGGAGTGACCATAGCAGTCCTTATAATGGGCCTGTTGCAAACTTTTGCTAGAGCAAAAATAAGAGTTGTTTCCCCATAGATGATGCCTGAAAAATCGCATGGCGCATCGGCAAAGTCTGAAATGCACTCATATCTTCACAATCTGCGTAAGAAATTTCCATGTTTTTGAGATTCCCGCTTCAAAAACGATACTACCGCACAGGTGAACATTTTGCTCGAGGAGTCGCTCCATCGTCGGCAATATTCATCATAGCCGACGCTCCTGCAGTTTCGCGCGTAATTCTAGGAGAGTTCAAGGTCAATCAAGGTAGGCAAGGAAAATATGAGCGTAAACACGGCGACTGTTATCCGGTCTTATACTGGTCAGGTGTTATCTCGTCCCATCACACGTGTTTTGGCGGATTGGCGTCGGTCATGATGAATATTGCCGACAATGGAACGACTCCTCTGACAAAATGTTCTCCTGTGCCGAAGTATCGTTTTTGAAGCGGGAAGCTAAAAAAAAAACACAAATTTCTTACGCAGATTGTGAAGTTATTAGTGCATTTCAGACTTTGCCGATGCGCTCATCGTGATTTTTGAGGCATTATCTATAAGAAACAACTCTTAGTTTCGCTCTAGCAAAAGTTTTCAACAGGCCCATTGCTGTCAGTTGAGAAAACCGCGATATTTGACAAGACTTGAATATATTTTGGATGGTCAGGGTGAAAGTCGCCTGGTTTGCTTACCAGAGCTATTTGGAAAGCTGATATTACAGCAGGAAAGGCATTTTTAACTAATTCAATTTATTTTAATTAGTTTCAGAGAAAAAAGAAAAACATACATACCATATGAATGCCCCTTGTTCTTCTTCAAAATAATTGACTTTTTTTGGTCTTTCTTTGATTTTAGCCGTCTTAACAGCAGCTACAGAAATGACTCTTGGAGGTCCATTTTGGTGCTCTAACTTACTACTACCTGATCCAACATTTATATTGCCCATTTCTTTGGCACTAGTAAATTTAGCCATCACGGAAGTAAGTCCCGCTCAGTTTTTTGCATTTCTTCTTTTTCTTTTATTTTTTAGCTGTTCCTCTGTTTCATGCTTTTCCGTTTTGACCCTTTTTTTCTTTTCTTTTTAATGGAAAGTCTTTACAGTTATATCCATCCCTCTCATCACAGAGAAATTGAAAATATACCAATATTAAAAGTATCAGTGCATACCTAGATAAATTTAAATTTAAATTTAAAAAAAAAAATTCTTTTGACTTAAACTGGAAAAAAAATCCAATTATTAGATTAAAAAGTTGTTGGAATTGTCTCATTCATTTTTTCTTTTGTATGTGTGCTTATTTTCTAATATTATGAAACATATTCTTCTATCTCTCTCTCTCTCTCCCTTACTAATGATTATTGAATATTTAAGTGCTGTTTTATTAGCACAGCACTTAAATATTATTAAATACATATATTCGTCTATCTTCTTATTAATGGTAATTTCTGATTTTTATTTTCTTATTTTATTCTTATAATCAAGGATGATTTTTTTTAAAATTAATAATCACTATTATTCTCAGGGAGTAAATGACCAGAGATTATATTGGATATTCACCGAATTCTTAAAGATCAAAGCCGGATTAAACCTCTAATAGTTTCAATTAATACCCTCAAAATTAAAACCAATGAAATTCCCATATGAACTCATTACTGAAGTATAATATTGTTTTACATGCATATCTACTTTTCATATAGATCCAAGTTTTACGAAGATGGACTGGTAAGGAGCCATTAATGAAGAAGATTGGAGTCAATGCTTTTCGTCTGATTGCCATACTTACTGGTCCAATTGCAGCTCAGATGCCTGCGGTAATTATTTTTTTATCTATGACTTCCTCTACTAAGTTCACAATTATTTGTTTATTTTGCTGAACTATAAATTAATGATGAATGATATCCCATTTGTTCAATCAGAAGAAAAACTGGGTTTCACTTTAATATTTTTTGCAAAAATTGCCCATTTTTTTTTAAAAAATTTTCCATGAATATGTTGCCTGCCTTGCTGGTTGTATCAACTGGCATTGAAGGGTCCCCCAAGCGCCACGCCAATTCTTTAGTTTGAAATGTGGTTGCTCAAGTTGCCAGGCTTCCGAGACTTAATGAGACCTACGCTCGTTGTGTATCATTGCAATTTCTGTTAATTGAATGATTTATATCTGAAGAAATCAATTTCACGTGTTCCTATTATTTGCAGTGAAAACTTTCCCAGAAATCGTTCATTTTCAGAATTGTTCATGCAAATTGTCAATGGGCTTACTCGGGTTTTTATCTTTTCGGTCGTGGAAAACCTGAAAAAGTCATGAAATGTTTTACCCCCAAGTCTGTAGGCATTCAGGATATAGTAATGGCCTGTTCATTTCGTTGCTATCATGACCAGCATGCTCCCTTGGGGGACTTCTGACAGTGCATGCCACAGAGCTTTTTGATACTAAACACTCAGGAATTCATCCAAATGAACAAAATTTTTGATATTAAGAGCCCAAATTTTTTTTTTTTTTTCAGGAATTGATACCATGCTGACCAATTTTTTTAAAATTTTAGGCATGGACTCTTTAGAAAATGGGTTAAAATTTTCTTCTCGTACAGGTTGTAGATTTTTAGACAACATGGAAAGTTTTTAGAGGGCCACCAACCTAAACAGGGTGTCTACAAGTCCAGAATTACCGGAAATAGTACTGATTTTTTAAGGGCGGTCTGGAAGTACTGAAAAAGTGCTGAAATTCCCCAACAAGGTCTGGAATTTTTAATGTTTGTCGCAATTTGAGCTAGAAATTAAAATTTTTCGAATTTCGCCAAATATTTGGAAGTACTGAAAAAGTACTGAATTTCTTGGGAATGTGCTGAAAAAGCACTGTAAAAGTACTGATTTTCGGCCAGCCTGTTTTAGTAGATACCCTGCTAAATTTTAAAAATTGCAAAAGTAAGAAACCCTGTAAAGGAGAGGATGTAGCATTGCATGGTATCATGTTCAATGAATTTCTTCCCACTATTTCTGTTTTTCAGCTTTTAAGTTTAATTTTAATTCAATCATGTTTTGTAAATAATGCAGGAGAAGCCTTAAAAGCATCCAGTTCTTTTTTATTGGAAAGCAGTAGGCCATATTCAAAGCATTTGCAGCTATTTTTTTCCTGCTTTTTGCCCTTCTGTATTTTTCTAAGGAGCCTCTGATCTCGGTAACAAATCAGACACATTGTTTTGCTTTTGCCAAACACTTTCTATCTTCGAAGGGGGGGGGGGGTTGAGAAATTTTGAGTCAGGCTAGTTTAAAAAATTCTCCCGTCTAAAATTTATTATTGAAAGAGAATGCTTAGTTTGTGAAACCAGGAGTTCGAAATAATTTTGACTCATTTGGAGGTATAAAACTTTTAGTTTCAACATAAGGTCAGTTGGTTTCTGATTTTCTGCTGGACTTAGCACACTTCATTTTATAAGTTTTCTATAAAATGATTCAACAATCAAATTGATTTAAATAGTCACTATCTGAACGTTTCTGTTATCTGATTCATTGTCTCCCCTTGGAATTGACCTGGATTTTTCCCTTTTACTATTATCATTAATCTACACCCAACTGACCGTGAATTTGTATGATAAATTTAAACTCTAGACGCACAATTATCATCATTACCTTGGATCATTTCATAAAGTTCAAGACCATATTTTGTTTTGATCTGATTTCTCTTTCAATTTATTTCTCTTAATACAATGCCTATTTTTTGCTAGTTCTTCTATTTCTCATTTGTGAATTTAAAATCTATATCACTGTCTTTTTCACCAATTAGGAGTAAAAAATGTCAACAATTAAATGGAGATTTTAGGTAGTCTCTCATAGTATTATTGCAAGTTTTAGTCTATGCCATTTTGTTGGAAGTAGCTTAATTGATTATTATGTAATTATAACTTTGACTGAAAGGAAGATGCTCAAAATATATCATGAAATCGAAACAACCGGCCTTATATCATCATTGTATCCGATTGTCGTTACAACCAATGCAGAAATACTTTGAATCAAAGGAATATTAACCGCAGGACCAACCAGATCTCAATGTTAAAACGAATATCAACAGTGAAATTACCAGGCTACGTATTTTGCTTTGCTGTCATTCTTTATTTTTCAAATGGGAAACTACTCAGCGTCAATTTTTGAAAACCTCCGTTATTCTTCTTCTCTGTGCAAAAAAAAGTTTGTAAAAACTTTAAGGAATGATACTGATTTGTTCTCCTACAAAAAAAATGAAATGGGAGTGGACATCTAAGCACCTGTAACAAGATTCATGGTCTGGTAGTTTTATCGTCAATATGGTTTTAAAAACGATGTTTTAAAATTCAATTTCCACTGTATTTCGTTCCTTTCCTAGCCTTTAAAACCTCATTAAGGGATAAATAACATAAATATTTATTTCACACTTTTGACAGCCATCCTTCCTCGTTTTCAGGCTTTGGCTGTGTATTGGGTCTCCTCCAGTTCGTTTGGACTTGTTCAACATTTAGCTCTTCTCTCACCAAAAGTGAGAAGATTCTGCAGAGTTCCTCACGTCCCTTCAGAGAAGGAACGACCGTATCGGCATCTTGTAGAACAATTCAACGTACGGTGGGCAGCCATGAAGAGCAACTGGTCATCACAATCTTTGTAAGGATGGAGTAAAAGTTGATTTTCAATTTCTCTAGGCTTTATAAATTTGTTTGAAAAACTGAACAAGTGATTTTTGTGTCATCACAGAATAATTTTTCAGTTCCATCAGTTCATCTTCTCAGTGTTGATAATGTCATTTTCCAACCAAGATTCTTTGAATTATATTTTTTTAGAAAAAAGGTTAATATCTGGGAGTGGATTTGGTCAAATTTTTCAGGAGGTTTGCAACCCTAAAGAAAAAATCGGTCTGCTGAAGTCAAGAACTAAACTCACTTGTTAAGTTTTAGCCAACGTTTGCATCCATCAACCATTTTGGGAGGTGCGTCAAAAATTTTGGATGTGGTTGTCATTGCTGCCAGCATGAAAAGCAATTTTTGTCGGCGCACCGTTGCCGAGAGGGAATTTCATTTTGTTGCAATGGAGCTTGACAGTAAGTCAAAAACTTAACCAAATCCTTTTGCAGAAATTTGACTGAAGAGACTTTTATTGGTTTGATGACAGAAATGGTGACCATGAAGAACAGACACATATTTTGTCTCTTTTTTTTTTNTTTTTTTTTTTTTTTTTTTTTTTTTTTTTTTTTTTTTGGAAAAATGTCCACTGTCAGGGCAGGCATTTCTCAGAAACTGCCAATGAAAAAAAATCGGCATAGGTGTATCATAAAAAAAAGTATCACAACATTTTGGTGATTAAACTTTGAGATCGTTTTTCTTGATTTTGGTGTCTCAAAATGTCCACTATTGTTTTAATTTTAATGGAAAGAGAGCAGATTGTTCAGCTTGAAATTCTCTTTGAAAATTCTCCAAAGATGTAAGAAAAATTATGGAAATTTCCATAGAACTTTTTTGATTGGTTTCCCAACTTAAAGGAATAAATTGTAACTGAAAGTCTGCAAATTTGCTGACTAAGGTACTTAGTTTGTAGAAAATGAAAAATAAAAATTACTTTCATTTGTTATTTCTAATCTTTTTAGATTGCATTAAAATTTGTTCACTTTTAATTTTCTACGAAGAATTATACTTGATTCCAGGTTTAATTTTAAGAAAATTAGTCAGCATAAAAACATAAATGAATGGGACAGGTTAAATCAGAATTATCTTATAAAGCTTGCTCTTATACTCAATTCTCAAAAAAGAAAATCCATGCCTCAAAATTTTGCTTATAAGCGCTATGTAATGTAGGAAAGTAGACCATTTCAAGCACAATATTGCTAAGTTTTCTCGAAAAGAGTAGAATATGAAGAATACTTAAATTTTACATTCTAAAATTGAGTAGCACTGTCCACTTAAAACTAGGTAATTCAACACAATAAGTACAAAGTAGAATAGTCACAACGTTCAGTAATTTACGAAGTTTAAATTATTTTTTAATCAAATCAAAGTAATGAATAAAAAATAATTTTAAGCTCACTAGTTTTTTTGCTATTACATCCGGTACCAAGAATATCTCTGTGCAATAACCATCCTCGTCCAGTATTTTTTTTCGCCTTTCCGAAAGAGGAACTTTACTGTTGTCCAGAGGGATGTAGAAACATTAAACATTTACTCTCTTTGTATAGCTACTGGTGTTAAATTTGTTTTTTAAAACACATCTTCAACACAGGGCGCCCCCCCCCCTTCTTCCACCGATCCCAGTATAGTGATGGACAAATGTAGATCTCCTTGGCTCTACCCATCTTTGATGCCTTTATGACTAATAAGTATAAAATCCATGTTCTCGCACAGTTTGTTTACTTTGAACAAACTTTTGTCTTCAGTGCAATTATCCACCATCTACAAGTTGTTTTCCTTTCAAAAATAATGCAATAACGAAAGTGACTTGCTCTGTAATTCAGTTTTTGGACTTAATTTGTCAAATTTATTATTCCTTGAATTGTCCCTAGTTCACCATGAAATTTGTCAAGCAAAAGCGGTGTCTTTGTAGTTTTTAAATAAAATATAGTTTACCAGAAGTTTTAATGTTTAAAGAGAGTGATGGAAAAGAAACAGAATTTTACCCTCCCCCCCCCCTTACATAAATTGGCTCCGGAAGTGTTTCGGTTCGCATCAAATGATTTCTCTGGAAAACATCTATTCAAGTATTTTCCAAAGTAAATACACCTTTCTAATTTTTTTGATATCTCAGTGGCGAGTTTAAAAGCAACCAAACTAGCAAACAAACAATACCTAGAAATATGACTGTAAAATTTTTGGTCTAATAATGTAAATTAAATGTGTAGGAGCTTTTCTCTGAAAATTAGTTTGTGTATGATTCATCGGAAAGATCATCATTATCTCAGCATGACTGTAGCTAATGCTAAGAGTAATGCGTGCTTGTGTTTTTGAATTTCTAATGACATCATGCTTTGTGGCCGACCTTTGACCTCAGCCTTGATCAGTATCATAAGATAAGTTGAAGCTCGCAAAATAGAAGCTGACAGTAGCAAACCAGGAAATTATCTCATTACATCGTAGGAGGGCAATCATAGTGCTCAAACTATCTATAAAAATTTTACCCTTTATAGAATATTATCCAAATTTTTTAGTATCCTGTATTTACTTTCGCTAGTGTCATCACAACTGCTCTATTTATTTGAATTATTTACTCTTAACTATAATTTACTTTAATACTTCAAATGGGGGTTCAGTGATTGTGGCAAAAATTTGAATCAAAGATGAGTGTCGGAAACCAAGCCTGTGTTCTACTCATCGTTCTGCTCTGCGTCACATTTTCGACATCAGCGGTGAGTTTTATTCTATTTCATCATTTTTGACCGTCCACAGGAAGAGGGTCTCTTGTTGCCTGGAAGTACTTTTCCATGGAAAAGAGCCATTTTTGTCAAAGTCAGTTGAAAAATTGGAATGTGAGTTTTCAGTAAAAGAACATGTCCAAGTATCCTAAAAAATCAGTTTCAAACAGTTAAGTTTGTGCCAAGAGAAAGTGGCAAGTTGCACCACAATTCAACAAAGTTGAGCAGTAGTTAGCGGTAGGTTTTTCTAAACCGTCTTCCTCTTGGAGAGACACTTCATGATGTCATAACCCTAATCTGATTTGACACTTTTGGGTGCTTTTCAGGACAGATTATCTGTCCAATACCTCTGTAAGCAGTGATACAAATCTTCTTCTCCTGGAGAAAGGAATGTTTATCAATCAAGTTGTCTCAGTATTTGTTACTAACATTTTACTGTGTTTTTATGGAAGAAGCATCACATTGATTTTTCTTTAAACTTATGAAAAAAGTCTGAACTTTTCAGACTTTGTGGGACAATTCTCCTATGAAAAGATGAAATCGTCGGAGAAACGCTGAAACAGTACAGACTAGATATCGATGGTGTAAGTCCGCAATCACACATCTCGTTTGCGGTATCTGAAAATCTCTGCCCACGTGTTATTTTTTTAAAGGAGAACAAATTGACATCATTCTTTGAAGTTTCTGCAGAATTTTCTTCGGACAGAGAAGAAAATTCATGGCAGTTTTAAAGAATTGCTGTTGGGTAGTTTTCGGTTTAAAAAATAAATTATGACAGGAAGTCTGCGACGTCGCAAACTGAGTTATAAGATTGACGACCTACACCGTCGATATGTTCTTTCTTGTGAGAGATGATGAAATATCTCTTTTAATATAAAATTTAGCACTAAGTTTCGTTTTCATGTGAGCGGTTACAGTTGAATTAATCCTCATCACAGGAAATTTAGATACATGATACCATTTTAGCCCAGAGATGTATGATTGCCTCCTCCTCCTCCCCCCTCGAAGTTTACAATTTTAAGATTTGTTTGAAGTATCATTGAAACACAGAGGTTCTTTTTAATCTTTTTTTTTGTTTTCCCCTTTTTTCAATTTTTGTTGTAATAGATTTTTATTTATAGATTTTCGCTTTTTGTCCATCCCTCACAAATTTTGTAGGAGATTTTGGCCTTGGGCCCCACAGTATCCCCAAAAATGGACAAAAGCAAAACACTTATAAGTATTAAGACAGAGTTTCTTTACCATTCTTTTAAGTGATTTTATCTTTTCTTATAGTTTTATCCAAAGGTCAAAAAACGCTTAACCTTGCAGGAACCTTGTACTTTAAAAATGTGTTCGTACTGATGGATGATTTAAGCCAGTTACGTTAAAAATTTATCCCAATTCTTTAACAAACTTGAATTTTTTGTTGAAAAATATTCTTGTAGAGCTCTTTGTAAATATCCTGCCAATTTTACCATTACATTTGGTAAAAGATGTGGTCAATGTGATCTGCTTCGTTTATTTTGCAGTGTATTTTAGCCTGTGAACATGGAGGTTTGTCATCTAAATACTAGTGTTTTCAGTGAAGGTTTTCCAAAATTGTCAATCCTTATGATTTAATAATAAGTAATAAAAATAAAAGTTTGCTAATATTTCTCTGTCTGAGGAATGTATTACGTCTTTAAAAATTGAAAAGGAAACTTCAAAAATCTGATTTATATAAACTTGCAAAAAAATGTTCATACATCTTTCAAGTGAGATTAGGTAAATCATTAGAATTGGCTGCCGAATGCTTAGAACTTTCCGAACTATTCACAGCCCTTCATTGGTAGAATAGTATTTTCCTGCTTAAAAATACAGTTCATGGAGCATTAATTTATCTAATCTATTTTTTCTCTTCTTGAACAGATTTATGGTGGAGATGAGGAGAGATGTCCACCAAAAGCAACAGGCCAATTTCCTGTACGAAGTGACTGCCGCAAATTCTTGAACTGTTACAAAGGACGAGGAATTGTGCAAAGTTGTGCTCCTGGAACGCTCTTCAATCCAGAATCCATGGAATGCGATTTCCCATCCAAAGTCAACTGTTTAGACTCGGACCTAAACAAACCCTACATAGGAAATTATCGTCAAAGGATTGATGGTAAATTTTATTTCATCTCTCTTACTATTTCTCTGAATTTTATATTTTGGACTTCTAACCTCATTGGAGAAGCATTTAGTGGGAAGAGTCAGGTTATTAGTTGGGCGCTAAAATTTTCCCCAAAAGACAATGTAAATCATAATGCACTTGATACTCTTAGGGTGTCTACTGTATGGAAAAAGTACGCATACACCAAAAAAGCACGGATTTTTGGAGGTCGGTAAGGAAGTACGGAAAAGGTACGGATTTTTGGTGAAAAGGTACGGAAATTCGAGTATATCGTGACAAACTCTCCAAAGTAGCCGTGGGGTTTTACGATTTCCTAACATAATCCATTTATTAACATCACGATTTGATTCCTCATGTTTTTCGGATTATTTCCTCGTCATTCCATCATTCCATTTTCCCAATTCAAATACAGTTAAAAGTGCATGTGGGGTAAGGAGAAAGTAAGAAAAGGTAAGGAAACAGTAAGGATTTTTGAGAATTACCAAAAAAAGAATTTCCTGGAAAGTAAGGAAGAAGCAAGGAATTTTAATGCAAGGGTTCCAGTAGACACCCTGTACTTTTTTACGTTCGAGTTTCACTTCAATGCAGTCTCTAAGGGAGTAATTGACCCTCTAATTTTTCTCTGATTAAGTGCTGTTCTTTTCATAATGAACATGAAGAATCAACTGATAAAACATAGAAAGATACTAATTTGCAATCGCAATTTGCTTACCTACATCAGACGCATCCTGATTTTCTCTGACGTTTTATTTTTCAAACAATGAACTAAGCAAAACTAAAACTTGAAATTATGTGAGTATACCCTTCATAATCTAGAATACATTCACATAAAATATAAAGGCGTAAAACAGTTTAGTTCTCTGTCTAGTTTGTGAGTCTCTATCTCACCGTGTAATTCTTTGCATTCCCTCATTTTTAAATTTATTATCATTGCATTTCCTCCCGTACAGATAGTTCGAAAAGTGACCAATTCGCCCGGCCTAGCTATGAACTCCAGCCAGGAAGTTATCAAGTTCCAACGCAACGTTTCGACACCTCAGCCCCCATCTTTTACCCCGATCAGAACCTGCAACCACCACCTTCCAACGGTCTTGGGTACCCGCATGTCCCTAAATACCGACCACAACAAGGCACAGCTCGTCAAGTGCAACCATACATAGTGAACCAACCTAATTACCAGCAACCAAACAATCCACCTCCTCCGGGGCAATTTGGCCCATTCCGACCGAATCAACCTGATCCATTGTATTCAAATTACCCCCAAGGTAACCAAGAGTACCCCATCCCAGGTGCCCCACTCCCTCTCGAAAATCAGAATCAACGCAATCCGAAGAGTAGCAGAACAGGATCTGGAAACTCAGTGATCGCTCCGGGCGTTGTCCAACCGGAAGCAAGCTACTGGAAACCTATTGTTGTCCCGAATGTGGATGAGACCAAAACACAAACTAAGAAACCCTACGGCTTGAATCCTGAGAAGACCAAAGGCAGAGCTTTTCCGAAGGATCAGAATCAAAAAGCAACAAAAGGGAACCAAGAAGCTGCGCCAAACACTCCGCCCAAGTGTCCCGCAGGAGAAAGTGGTCTTTTTCCGCATCCCACTGACTGCAAGAAGTTTTTGAGCTGTGCCCATGGTCGAACGTTTGTCATGGATTGCGGTCCTGGTACTGCTTTCAATCCAGCGTCATCAATTTGCGATTGGCCGAAGAATGTAGACTGTCCCAACTATGAGGAAGATGGTGATACTTCTGCAGACAATGAGCAAGGTATCACATTATTTAATTTATTTTTGCCTGTATTGGGAGGCTGTAGAATTCATTTAATTTGAACATAGCAAAGGGAATTTCCCAGATGTGTTTTTATAAATTTTATGGAAAATTTTGAATCACTTTTGTTTCTAAGTTTTTTTCTCCTGTAATCTTACATCTTTTTACTGTATAATTATTTGTTTTAAAACTCTTAATAGGTAAAGCAAATGAAGATTGAAATTCCCAAAATAATGGAAAAATTCTTTTGAACCTCTTTTCTGCGTTTTTATCGAATCTTAGATCCTAGAGTTAGGTCCTTTGACATGTACAAATATTTTCAAGCCTTTTTTCAAGTTGTGAAGTAAGTTTAATCATGTTTGCAAGTATAAATTTTACTCATTTTGAGTAAAGTTTTTCGTTTTCTAAAATTTCATACTTGAAAAACTTTGATATTTTAAACTATTATTTATCTCTAGCAGGCTGCACTCAACACCAAAATATGAAGTTTACAAAATTAGTTAGTTAGTTAGTATATTGTAAGACATTCAGCGTCACAGGCTATTAACGTCTTTACAGAGAATTTTGAAAATGGGAGTATATACAAAATTTAGATTTTTAAATTAAGAGAGGTGAAGAGTTTCAGAATTTTGGTAGTAATATTGGGTTCATCGCATGTAAGTGGGTTTGTATTTCTGTTGATTGTAGGGGAGTAGATCTGTGATTGGAGATATCGGAGGGCAGAGCAGTCCATAAGTACAAGTTTGATGGTTAAAGGTGATGAATTACAGAAGTAACAGATGGGTTGATTTTCTTTGGAGATGATACAACTGTGAGATTAACGTTTCTTTCATGATCTGCAAGATGAATGAACAATGAAGCAAGAACAAACTTACGAAGTATGAATACAACCAACATCAAATGCTTATCTAGCTAACCCTGTCAAATCTTTTTCTTGTAATTATGAGCATATGTATAAGTGCTCATTATAGCCATATTTCCCCTCATTTATTTTCAGCTAAGTCAATTTTTTGCTTGTTTTAGGAGAATATAACCGTCCTGGACAATATACTGAAAATGAACAAGATCCACTGATACCGCAATCTTCCAACGTACAGCCAAGTCAAACACAACTTCCATCTCTCTTCACGCCATACCAACCGAACAATGCTCCTAGCTCATTTAGACCTCCCAACAATCAAAGAAATCCACAACAACCCAATCAAGCAGACAATTTTCCCAACCAGAGTCGACCTCCTTACCCCAACTCTCAAAACTACTACCCCCATCAACCAATCGATACCCATCCCTCAAATGATAACCATCCCCAACCTAGCAGAAATCCTGCGCAAAGTAATTACCGCCCTTCAAGTCCGTTCGAACTCAACAACTCACCAACCCAGCCTGCTAACATCCCAAACCAAGGTAGGGCACCATATCCCAACTCCCATCAACCCCCTCCTTATCCGCAGCAACCTAACGTAAACTACCCATCAAACGCTCATAATTTCCAGCCCATCAAGAATCCCGCACAGAGTACCAACAAACCATCTAGTCCTTTCGATCAAACAGCCCCTAGTAAAAATCCTAGTTCCCACTCTAGCCCATACGCCCCAAACCAACCTTCCTCAAACACATACAGCCCTCATCAGAACTCAAACAAACCTAACAGCTACACTCAACCCTACCAGCCTAATAAATCTACTCCACCTCGCCCCTCCTATCAACCCGACGAATTTGGAAGCACAGAATCTCCAGATTCTCAAGTAGAAATAGATGACCTCTACATACCCAGCGAAGTGCCCCCACAAACCATCGTTACAAGGCCGGAATGGGCAGAGCCTTTGGACATTGACGTGAGAATCAACTTCCCGCAGGAAGCGACTGACAAGACTCCGAAGCCCACTGTGAAACCAATTAAAGGAACTGTAAATTCCAGGAGTTTACAAAATTCTCCACCAGAGCAGTCATTAAAACCTACGAATACTTCAAAGCCCAAGTCGAATATAACACCCGTCCTGCCTTCTATGAAGTCTGTCAGTTCACAGGTTGCCCGTCTCCGGGGTGGACCGAAACCCTCTGAAGGATTTTTGGAGCTGAAGATGGATAACGGTAAATGGGGGATCACTTGCGATGAACCAAACAGCTGGAATATTAATGAAGCGCATATCGTTTGCAAACAGCTCGGATACGAGAGGTAATGTCTTGTTGACTCAGAGGAGTTGATGAATTTTTATGCGTTTTTCATGGCGTCAGTTCAATTTAGTTCCATGAGCAGAACAAGCTTGTTTTCAAGTCCTGCGCCAAGTAATTTGCACGAAAAATTAAGATTTTTCTTCAGAAAAGACTAAATAAAAACACATAAAATTTAAAACATTAAGCAGTCTACATGGTAAAATTAGAATTACAAACATATTAACTCACTGGCAGAGCAACAAAAAAAAAATACATTATGAGAAAATTACTTATCCTAGTGATACAAGAAGCAAAACAAACATGCACCTTCAAAAAATAATTCTAACAATTCTCTCTGTTTTCCGTACGATTTTTTTTTAATTCCCCGTCTTGGTCTTTCAGAGGAGCTGAATTAACTTGGCAAGGTCGACCAACAGATGCCTCTACTTCAGCATTAAAAGAGATCGCAGTGAACAGCGTCAAATGCTCTGGGAAAGAAGCCTCTGTTTTGGACTGCAAAATTAGAAAAGGTTGGTCCTTTTATTTCTGATCTTCGTTCAAAAATGCAGTTTTAGACAAATTGTAAGTAAAAGCAATGTCTATTTTGCAATGTTAAAGTTTCAAAAGTTACTTTAAGGTCACTAGGTAGGGTGAAAGTTAGAACACTGCAAAACCCTTTGAAGGGAACTCTGATTCAATATCAATCATTATACATTGAATTCATATAATGAAAATTTCCAGAATTGAGAAATGTTTAGAAGTGAGAAATTGACTCTTTGATTCTCTTTGATTTACAGAGAAGAGCTGTGATCCTGAGCGGGATGGTGTTTGGATCAGATGCCAGAACAACTACGCTTCCCTTTGTCGACCAGGTGAAATCACTTACAACAATCGATGCTATAAACTAGTCGTTCCGCAAGAAAACAGCACTGATGCCTCTAATGAAGGATTCAGCCAAGGCGAGGCATTGGCTCATTGCTCATCTATCGGAGGAAAACTTCTCAACATCCTGTCCCAGGTACGATCGGTGAAAGTTTTTATTAAAGAATCATTCTAAGAATGATGTGATGCAGTTTTCGAAACTCACCTTTGAGTTTTAGGAGCCATGTGGCGCACAAAGCCCGATTTTTAGGCGCCACTGAAGATTTTATAGGGGGCAAATTGACTTTTTGCCTATATATTACGGCGCATTTAGTGGAAAGTCAGATGCAAGATGTTTTCGGAACAGAATCAGTAAATAGCTGTAACTTGAGGAAGACAAAAGCACTAAGAATGAAATTGTGAAGAATAGAAAAATCTTTCACCTGTAGTGCTGAAAATTCTGAGTTTTTTTTAATTCAAACGGATTTGTTTTTCTTTCTTTATGTGACTTCCTATGAAAATGCAGATTTTTAGGGGCCACGCTGGTGCAGAGCCTTCATTTTTTAAGTGCCATGGCCGATTTTTTGGGCGCGTTGGCGCCTGTAAGTTTCAAAAACTGATGTGATGACCAAATAAACAAAAAGTTTATCTCATATCTCTAAATAAGCGATTAATATGCTTTGTGGGAAGAATCTAAGAATATGACTGTCAAAAGTATAAATAAGTACTCTGTGTTTTGTTTTCATGGAAAATATTAAAGTAGTGACAAGTTGTAATTGTTTTCTTTAACATTTGCAGAATGAAAACGATTTCTTATCAGAATGGTTGGTGGGTCAGAACAAAGCTGATAATATAATGACATCTGGTGTCGGAGTGTCAATAATGGGACGATCCTTGTGGATTTGGGAAGGCTCAGAGGACTCATTCGTTTATCATAATTGGTGGCCAGGTAAGAAACTATCTCTATTTATTTGTTTGTTTGTTTCTCCTCTCTAACTTCAAGAATCTCGGAATTCTCCTATTGAATTTCATCAGATGGATATGTTTTAAAAATGTAATGTTTTAAGATTTTAATACATTTTTGTATGTGTTGTTTTTAGCCATTACAGGTAATTGTTTGAAATATCCTAAGTAATTTTCGAAGAGGACGCTTAATTTTAGCCTTCTCTGTAAGAAATCGATTTGGATACTGTAAGTGGATAAGCCTGGAGTAAAATCAGTCATTAACAACAACCATTTTTGTTTCCGTAGGTTGGGAGGGCGGTCGGTCAGTTGCTCCAAAAACCCAAGCTGGACGAGGTCAATGTGTCATCGCTCAAAGGCACTTCCCATGCCCATCCTCTTCATCTGCGCCTGATCAGAAAAAACCCCATACCCCGCCAAGACTTTGTGATGCTGAATACTACTTCTGGTCGACTGCTGACTGTGGCGAAATGAGCACCAAACACCCGTACGTTTGCAAACGTCCAGTGGATGACATTGGTTAGTTGATGTCTTCATAATTGTTTGAAAAAGGGTTCAAAAAGAAGTATAAATTAAGTACTTAAACTATATTTTACTTTTTATGAAATGTTTATCTGGTTTTAGCGTTCAGAGTGTTGTGTAGAATGTGAATTATTCGTCAGAGGTTTTAATGAAATAGAATATTTTGCCAGCAAAAACTGTTTAATTCTGAAATGCAGCTCTGAAATATTAATACTTGAAAAGACTGAAGATTGTATTCTTTGGATTGTTTAGGAAAAAATACTATTTTGTCTGGTCATTGCGAAATTTCTCCCCTGTCTTTTCAGTTCTTGTTTTTTGTCTGTTTCTTATGTCTGTAAAATTCTGATCTTAATGATTTTCTCAAATTTTTACAGGTTGTGTCAAGGATACAGGTAGAGATTATGCAGGAAACGCAAATGTCACCACAAACGGAGAGGCATGCTTATCATGGAACACACCCTCCGTGTTCTCAGCCTTGAAATACCGGATCTCTGAAAAGACACACCAGACCCTCTTGCGTGACCATAACTTCTGCCGAAATCCAGACGGTCTTGATTCTTCTCCGTGGTGCTTTGTCAAGGCACCTACCGGTGTAAGGAAGGAATTTTGTGATATACCCAAATGTGAAGATAGCAAAACAGTCGGTAAGTCGTCATCATCATCCGTTTCATCCCTCTCGATATTTCTTTTTTAACATTTTAATTTTTTTCTCCTTTCTCCAATTGAGTGGGATTCATACTTTTACAGCAACTATTCATTATGAATTCAGAGAACAGCTGATTTAAATTAAAATAGCAATGCATCAGTTAATGATGATTAGACTGAATGAATGTTTTTACAAAACTTTAGTCAAGTATGGGCGTCACCAAGCAAACAGAACCTACCTGTATTACTTCTGTGGAAACAGTGTGTAACAGTGTGCAAGCTTTTTTGGAAAAAATGAGATTTTTAGGCAAGTTTATGCCAAAACTGGTGAGAATTGGAGAAATGGGGTCTTGTCTCACATCAAAAATTACAAGGAGGGGCCCTAGTTCGTTTTATGGGTATGTTTCATGGAGAAGGGGTGAACATCAAACAGGTGTTATTTGCCCTCCGAAAAGTAACTCTGAGATGAGTAGCTAACATACACTGAACACATCAATGACAGAGACACAGTCCAGTAAAAATAACTAAGTGATAGACTTACTATCATTTGCAACATCATTCACATTCCAAAATTAAAGGCGCTATTAGTTGCGGGTAACTGAACCATCACCAACCTCATAACGCTTCGTAATCAAATAAAACGAAGTCACCATTTTGGGGAAAGGATAACTGATTCTACTTAAGTGTTTGGTCTCTCTTTCACGTCGATAAAGCATTTTGTAACGTAAACGTTTAATTTGTTTGTTTCTCTTATCCCCAGGTAAAGATTCAATACAGGATTTCACCCCAACATCCTCTGAACAGTGTAGTCCTGATGGCTATGAATGTCGCCCTGGTGACTGTATTCCCTTGACATGGATTTGCGATGGTCAGCCGGTAAGGACCCTAGAATGTGCTCTTTTTATTGACATTAATATTAATTCGGCGGTCTGTTAAAATTCAAGTACCGGCAAACTTAAAATTGAGCTAGGAATACCATTGCTGATTATACCATATTACACTAATTCTCTAATGTTGTTTGCTAACATTAATGCTGAGATTAACGTTCAAATTTCTAAATTTTCCGGCCGAAGGTAATTTTTTTGCTAATTGATACATCATTGAATTCTTACAATAAAGTTCAAGAACTCTTTTACTGAGTTGAATCTCATTCATTCAACTTTTCTCATATCCATGCTTACTTTTATCAATTGCAGGACTGCAGAATTACGGAGAATGAGGGTAATTGCTCAACAGTGTTAGAGAAATTCACTTACTATCCTTCAGCCCGACTCTATGGTTACGATGTTGAAGCCTGGGACGACGTTAGTCCAGAGGCATGTGCCTTCCGCTGCCTAAAAACGACCTCTTTCGAATGCAGATCATTCTCATACTCGTGAGTAAAATACAGCCATTCTTCAAAATAACCGTAAAATAATAATGTGAGTACTCAAATTACTCACAAACTCATGACTTCCTTTTTTATTCACGCTCTACAGTGAGTAAAACTGTGCTCAAATAGAATATCAAAACGTATTCAGGCTGATTTGTAATTGTCTTTGAAAAAATCAATTAAAATTAAATTTAAAAAAAATCGAAAAAATTGAACTTAAAAAAATATCTGATTTTCTTGTGAAATTGATCAAATAGATCGAAACATTCAAAGCATTTTTTCTCATAAAACAATCCATGTCTGTTGCCTTAGTTGAAATTTACGCTCCACTTCACCATAGAAGATGGAAGCCAGTTTGAAAGTAATTCTCAAGAAACCGCTTGAGCTGAGCATTAATCAACGGAACTTTGATACCTTTCGTAAATCTATTGCTAGGTTTTTATTTCTCTAGTGAGCTCATAGTTCACAAGACGAAAGAAAAAACTGAAAAAATTGTTTTTATAGAGGTTGGGCAACAATTTGGCGACAAAATTATTCAATTTTCAATTGATTCCATGCTTATAATGAAATATTTTAATTGTAGGTCAAAAGACAGGAGCTGTTATCTAAGTGATAACAATGTAGGTATCTCAGGAGCACTCCAGGTCAACAGTAGAGAACAAGAATGGGATTACTACGAGATGAATGCCCGATCTTTGAACTGCGAATCTCTGTTTATTTGTAACAATGGGAAGTGCATCGGGAAAGATGATGTAAGTGCCAGTACATTCTAGATTTTGTATCGCTCTATAAATGCAAAATTGATTAAACAGCAGAACACTGAGTTTTGTTCCATTGTCTAAGGTATTTCTTCATTAAAAGCGCTTTCCTGTAAATTGTAGAAATATCTCCCAGCACTCAACTCTTTTTTATAATGATGGAAGATGCCCCCAAAAATGTTGGCACAGTACTGTCATGTGAAATGTTTTTTTCTGTGTTCCATATGCTAATGTTGAAGTGCTTTCATACTGTATGTGGCAATCAACAAAAAAATCCAAGCTTAGTCCTGACCTCCAATGCGAGTTTCAGGAGTAAGTAATGGTCTATTTTCAAGTATCCCCTTTTTCAAAAGTCCATGGCTTTTTACTCTTAAAAACCCAAGTACCAAAATCAAGCACTCAGTCTTTTGAGCCCAAAAATTATTTTCAAAATGCATGTCATATCTCTTTAAAAACAGTTATCAAGCCTGTCGCTCCAGTATGTGATGCGTCCACGTCTAGGCTACCTTAATCCGCAAAAAAATGAATCAAAATCCGAAATTTGGCACCCAGACTCTATAGAAAAAATCGTGTCAATCGCATCACTCTACACATTAAGTTTCTCCAAAAGCATGCATCGTCTGATCTCATTTCTGTTCAAAGCCAAATGCACAAAACATTTATTTAATGCTTTATAAAGTCTCCTCACAGAGTTGCTCTTGTGAGTTTATTATTTGTTCCTTTGATTGTCTGATTTTAAAAATTTGAAGCTTAGAAGAACCTCGTAAAAGGATTCTCAAAGTCTGGGGTAAACCATAGTAGAAAAAATAATTTAATCTCTTTGAATTTTCATCTCCTCATTTACAACTATTAACTGAAAGTAATCATTTGTCAGGATAAAAGTGCATCAATATGTTTACCTTGTTGTAGGTTTGTGATGGTCATGCTGACTGCAGTGATTTCAGTGATGAAAATCAATGTCCAAATAGAGATGTTGGATTTGAGATTCGTCTAGCAGGTGGAAAGTCTCGGAACGAAGGAAGAATTGAAGTTAAAGGTTTGTTTGTTCAAATGCCTATCGAGTTGAAATAACAGACACAAAAAAGATGTCAGGGATTCTCTAGTTTTTATTCGGAAAGAACTTTGCATAAGCAACCTACTTGCTACGTTGATGCTATTTTGCCACTTGCCAGGTATCTTAAAATTGTTTGCTTTAAAATTTGCTCGCCTGCTCTCATGAAAATTTTCGAGATCAATCGAAATGAAGTGAGAAATGCTATTCAAAATTCCCAAGTGAATCTGCTCTGTAGTTTTTTTCAGAGAAAATTAGACAAGTTTGAGACTTCTGGAAACCAAGTGCTGAGGATAATATGGTGCTTGTGATTTCTACTTTTAAGATGACAAAAAAAGTGTGGGCAGAAATTAATTAAGTGATCTGGAAACCAAGTTTGCGCAGTATCTCACCCTTTTGCAAAAAATGAACCCAATCAGTGTCTAAGGCACATGTTAATAATACCACGTAGCTGAAAATGAAAGTCATTTCTCCTTCTCCTTTCATCTACAATACTCTAAAATAAGAAAAAGCTTTCAATCAAGCAGAAGAACCTAAAATTCTCTTGTTTTCTAAGCCCTTTATTGTGTTTCCGTCAGCTCTCGGTGAATGGGGTGTCGTTTGCGACGATTCGTTCAACTTGATGGCAGCTACAGTTGCCTGCAAGGAGCTGGGATTTCCCCTGGGTGCTGCTGAAGTCAAAACAAACTCCTTCTTCCAGCCTGCCAACGTCACATCGCAAAAGCCTCCACTTTATCTGATGGATGACGTAAGGTGTGCCGGAAACGAAAGTTCCATCAGCAAATGTTCTTTCAACGGTTGGGGAACTCATGATTGCGGACCAGAAGAGGTGAGTTATTTAACTGATCAAATACCTCTAGCAGTACCCAGATTACGTCAGAAAATTTGGCTCAGCTGTTCTGAATAATATTATAATGACGTTTTTCCATTTTGTAATGAGTATTACTCTTTTTACAGAAAACAAAGAAAAGCTAAGAAACATGACTTTGATGTTTTATGATCATCTTAGAACAACGTTGTATTAGAAGTAATTCTGATCAAGTGAAATTCTTAGCAAACACAAGAATGTAACAGATGGTTAAAAACAAAGAACTTGAGAATCTTCAATGAAATAAAACTCTGTAAAATGTAACTTTGATATTGATTGATGCGTAATTTCCATTTTAATTCTGGTTTTTATTAAAATATTCTCTAATTTCTTACACCCTTGATGTTGGTTTGATTTAATGATTTTATGAGAGTTTTCAGTTGACTTATTCGGAGCAGTTCAATCATTTTAGCCAACCAATTGGTTTTTAAAGTTACCTTGTACCTTCATTTTTCCCTCTGCCTTTTTCTTTGATGTGTTGATTTTAGGAATGCATTTTCTCTGCCAAGCAATATTCAGGCTGAAATTCGTTTTTGTTTAATCTTCATTGCATTTTCAATGTTCAGTAGCTGCAATACAGATGAGACAGCAACAAATCTTACAATTAGCCTCAAGATAGCTTAACAGCCGAAATACATGGATCAACACATTAAAGAAAACAGCTGAGGAAAATATGAAGTTACGAGGCAACTTTAATGGACTCATTATCTGTCAATGAAAGAGTAAAGTCTTAGAATAGAACCCTATGTCTAGCATTACTAGCTGTCGAAGCTGACAGACTCATTTCTTTCAACTACATTCTTATTTCTTTTTTCATTTTTAGGTTGCTGGTGTTGTTTGCAAGACAGCTAGTACATCTTGCCCGAGCGATCAGTGGCAGTGTGAAAAAACAAAAGAATGTATACCCATCAAGTTTCTTTGCGACGGAGAAGTCGATTGTGATGATAAGTCAGACGAAAGTCCACTGAAATGTAAAGTAAGTTCACGATCTGCCCCTCTTAAAGCTAAAAGAAAAGTAACTATGATCAAAAGCTAAAAATAACCTCTAACATAGATCTTAATCATCACAGCAAGGCATTTTCTGAGTTTTCCAGAAATCACTCCTAGATTTCTCTTTGCCCCTTTCTGTAACATTGTTTCTACTGAACAAAAAGGACGTAATATTATAAAAGAATAAAAAAATAATCAATCTTTTCTAATCAGAAAAATTGATAATTCACACTTTCTAAGTGTTTCAAAATTCTACTATCAGGTCCATTCTAATTCACGTACATTTTCTTCCTCCTCTCATGTAAGATATCTTTTATTTTGTCAAAAAAATGTTAGTGCTGAAGAAAATTCTTCTATTCTAATGAAGTACACTGAAATAATTTCAGCACTCAATTTAAGGTGCCACGGGCTTTCTGTGAGCAGGAAGTGTGAATTAAAGTAAACAAAAACTGTTATTTCTCACTCATGGGTAGAATTTAGAAAGTTTTAATGCTTTCATCATATTCTACATAGAATTTCGTTAAAGAAACATATACTGAGGCTCCCAATTTGGCACCGTCAAGTAGTCCATTGTAAATTAGCAAAAAATAATCACGGTTTCAATGTCCAATATTGATAGAGATTTTATCTCTTGAAAAACATAGTATAACACTATTTGCACTTGTGCATTTTATATTTCCTCTACTTTCGTTAAAATGGGTTTAGAAACTTGATTTTTAGACAAATCTTATTATTTGTCCAAATCCTCATGATTCCATCATCAAAACCTCACCCTGTCAAAGCTCTGTCTCTAGTCTTCTACTTTTTCATCCACCTTTATTTCTTGTTCTTGAATTTTGAATTTTTAGTGTTATCCACAACTCTTATTTATTGTAGTTAGTTTTTGCTCTCAGGCGATATTGTAAGTAAGTATTGTCAGGATAGATTGTGTCTCAGGTTCATGTGCTGATAGTCCTTAAGTCGATAATGTGTACCTGTTTTGAAATATTAAGAATAAAGTCTCCTTTGGAAAAAAAATCACTCTGTTCTCATTACATTTCCTACAACCAGCTTTTTTGCGATGTTTGCACTTTTTATCCTGGCAATTATTTACGCCACCAATTTTCGGGCATCTGTTTCTCGTGTTTGCAGAAAAACCATATTCATCTCAAGTTTAATCGATTTTATTTTCAGTCAAGTGCACAGATATTCCTAGAGTAAGATTTTTGTCTCAGTTAACAATAGTTCTGTTAAAAGCGACCACATGAAGAAAATTAAGTATAGCAATTTAAAATAAAGGAGGGGACTATCTTGAACGTCAATGATTAATAAAGATACGTTTTGGGCTCCTGAGTTGCTTTATGGATGGACCAGGGCCCTAGGTAGTTATACTGAAATGAGGTGATTTGGATCAAAACTTGCAATCTTCATTATGCTGTCTATAAATGTGACAATAATTTCAATTCATCACAAAGAGAGCCAGTGAGTCTCTGTTCGCATAATTTCTTAAGAATTTCCTACATACTAGAGAGAAAATTACAACAGTATTTTACATAAGGAGTTGTACTGGTTAAGTGGTCACTTATTTTAATGAATGAAAACATCTGCCAAATTCTCAACGGTGGAATGAAGGTTGCAGCTTTGATTCTTGGCGCTTCACAATGATAAATCGAACAAATCAAGAAGAAAAGATCTGACTCACGTTGAATTCAATTTAAAAATAGTGATTCAAAGTTTAATCCTCCTCAAAACTCAATGCCAAATCATTTTAACTCAATGATTGGAGGAAAAATCATGAGTTTTTATTAATTATCATTTCATGCAAGAAATTTTATTTGAAACAACTATGAACTCACTTGCATGATGAGTATCGAATGGAATAAAACTCAAATCTCTAAGGTTCTCAAGTAGATACTCACAATAAATCGTAGCAGTAATGTAAAATTTTTGAACATTGACTTCCGTTCAAATCTGACTTGGTAAACTGAGCATTTCAATTTATTAAACCAGAGAATTAGACAAAAGTTTCGTCAGGATGAGATTAAACTAGGATGTATCCTTTAATTTAAAATCTAACTCATGGTGTCAGAAACTGAAAGAGTTTATAACCCATACAAATTTTTATCATTTTGATGCTTTAAAGAATTTCCAAACTGCCACCCCTTTGTGACAATGATTCTATTTGTTTTGCCATTTGGTACATACATTCAGTCTGTATTGACAAATTAAAAATCTGAAATATAGAATTTTAGAACCAATGAAAAGTGTGAACATCAAAAGTAGAGGCTCAATTTCGACATCCAACAACGAAGTGCCCTATTTTTGTGTTATTTTCGGTTCAGTAAGATATTGCCCGTTAAAGTAATTGAAATCTTCGGTAATTGACGTGTTAAGTGAAAGAATAAGAGCCCTGATAGCGATGTAAAGATCTTGCTTCAAGAAGAACATTGCAAAAATTGAGCCCGAAAAACTCAATTTTCAGCATCATAATAGTAATTTTAAATTTTTTATGAACCATATTAAAATTCATTTTTAAAATTTGAACTCATTTTTCTTAAAACAAAATAGATACAAAATTTTCACTAACTCCTTTATTCACTGAAGACTTCCATTTATGAATCAGTTTCATTTGAAAACATTAAATTGTGGTTACAATTGTAACAACATTTTGTATAATTGACAGGTATGTGGTTCTTATAGAAGTACAAAATCACATTAGATTGGTAGGTATGCAATCTTACATATTTTGGCAAAAATAAGGGGAGATTTCTCCACAAGTCATTATTCCATGCAATGACTTTTACAACCCAGGTAACCCCGTTCATTATTGAATCCAACCCTTCAGATTCTATCGAGCATGTTCAAGATACTTAGTTGTTGAACTAAAACCGATCTTAATGTGCTCATTTTGCACACACTTAAGTTATTGATCTTACTTTTATTAGAGTTTGACATTCAAAACTCAAAGTTTGATGTTTTAACCCTTAGTGATAGAAGCTGCTGGCCGCAAAATTTCGCTTTAGGGAATTGAAGCCTCTATTTCTGTGAACAGACACATTTCGGTAAATTTGCTAAAGCTCGCTGGCAATTAACTCTGTTTTTAAAGAAAGAATTCAGTTTACTTGACAAGAGAATTCTCAAATTTTCATTGAATACATAGGTATGTAGATATTTCTACCCATCAGAATTTTTTTTTTTAAGTAATTAAATGTTTTTTTTTAAAATTTAATAGGCTCCAGTTTCTCTGAGAGTTGTTGGGCCGGCCACTGGCAAAAGCGGAGTAACAGAGGGGCGACTAGAAATCAAACGCTTTGGAGTGTGGGGAACGATCTGCGATGACGACTTTTCGGAAACTGAAGCGCTTGTTGCATGCAGGACTTTAGGATTTTATGGACCAGCGAAGGTACGTCCTGACCATATTTAAATTACTAAATTGGAATTTTTGCCTTATGAAAAGTCAGGTTGATCAACAAACTAAGGGGATGATTTTCAAGAATATCAATTGTGCCTCTTTGCACCAGAATTTGATTGTTATATAGATGTATTGTAAAGAAATTGTATTTGCAAAAAAGATAAAGGCATGATATCCTTTTGTCGTTTCAGCTAGAGCAGAGACAGTTATTTCTGAAAATGAAGAACGTCCTGCAATTTTTTGAGTGATGGGTAAAGGGATAGGGTGAATAAATGGTTCAAAGAGAAGAAACAGTATGGCAAAATTATAAAAATTAATCATAAAAATCACTATAGATTTTTAGATATTGACATATTCCCAAAGTCAACCAAAATGAAGCATTTTAAATAATTTAACAAAATTTTGAAGAAAATTACCAACGAAAAATTGCCCAATGAAAGTTTTTTAAAAACGTATTGGAAGTCTTGATGGAGAATGGAACAAGGTGGGACAACCATTTTTTCTTAATTGATCTAAAGTGATATTTAGCCAAGTTTTTAGGTCTGACTAGCTTAATCGGTTCCGTATTGACTTTCTATTGTCAAAGTTACCAACAGTTTTCTTCATAGATTACTCCCAACATTCAGAGATACTGTCTCGGGATATTTTTCAATCTTTTAATGTCAGCTGTTGTTTGATTTAGTTCCGCAAGGAGGCTGCATTTGGTGCTGGCACTGGACCAATCTGGCTGGATGAAGTACATTGTGGTGGCAATGAAACCAGCATCGAAAAGTGCGTGCATGGAATCTGGGGTCAGAGTAACTGTCAACATGATGAAGACGTCTCAATTGTGTGCACTCCAGGAGTCCCTCCGGTTAGTCAAATTTTGAAATGAAATCTTTCTCAGGTTGCCTATGTTATCAATTTCATTAAGTAATCAAGCAGAACTCTAATAATCAATCTTGATGTCGTGGTCTTCTATTTTTGTATTTCTAGTTGCTTATCGATGTTTTTTCTTTTCAGAGACAGATGGAAGGTCAGAGTGAAAAAAAATGTATGTTATTGTGGTGTTGCAAACTATCAGTTCCAATTTCATTCTTTCAAAGGAAAATAAGCTAACTTCAAAGGTCGAATTTCTTACAGAGTATTCTGCCAACAGGGAAGAAAAGTCATAAAAGTTTTCAAGAAATTATGCTGACTAATTTTCCAAAGAAAATATGAAGTATGACAGGAGGTCTGTAACGTTACAAACGGAGGTACATTGTTTTGCCCTTTGGTTATCGCAATGGTTGTTTTGTCTGGTGAAATTGAAAATTAGAATTCTAGTTTTTATTTTTAAGGAAAACTCTCTCAAGTTTTGCAAAGAACAAGTTGCAAGCACTTTCGTTCATCCTATTCTTTTTCCAGACATCAGCTCCGGAGTCGAGACTTCATAATAGGATCCTTTTTCCAGATGACTCGGCAAATCTAGTAGATTCAGCATCTAACACCTTGCAGCTGTTTCCGAAAGAATGTGCTGTAGCAGACAAGAATTCAAACGGTTCAGATGCCCAAAAGTACGCCAAAATTGCGGTGAACAATGATGTTATCAGAGGGACTTATCCATGGCAGGTAAAATCACAGATATCTCAATCAGAGGCTTCATTTGTGTATCAACTTGACATCGAATATTACGCAATATGTTCAGCAATCGTAGGCAGGTTCTTTTAATTTGCTGCCTGTAAATTTTAAGTTTTATCGGAAACTAGAAAGTTCAGTACATAATTTCAAGAACCATCCTGTGTGAAGGGAATCTGAGTGTCTGGAGAATGGTGAGAGAAAACGGTCCCAAGGTTTATCCTCTTGCAAGAAGCTTGTATCAAGTCAGTGGGGGAAGCTAATCCATACTAGATTTTTGAGCTTACTAATTAAGGGAACTTCAATTTTCAATCTCAAATTTAACTTTCAAGACCTTAAATTGTTTTTGCACATCCTTGAAAGTCTAAATATTTTATCAGTGGTCCTCGATCAAAGACTCCTGAAATTGGTTTTGAAAAGCTACCATGAATCTAAGTAACAATTAAGTAAATAAGTTTGTTATTTCTTGTTAACAGTGCATTTCTATTTTTCAGGCAAGCTTGAGAGTTCGAGCAGGCACTCAAACGATTCACTGGTGTGGAGCAATTGTAATATCATCGCTGCACATACTCACTGCAGGTCATTGTTTGGAGGATTATAGCAAGGGTGCATATTATGTCAGGGTTGGAGACCATGATACTGAGGTAAGAGAGACTCACCCTATAGGAAAGCTTTATTCTCAAAAGGAACTCATATTGATGGTCAAAGTAAATTTGTGCATCTCCATCGCAACGTTGAACATCCTCAATGATGATTTATTATTATCTTTAATAAAGATGACATGTTCACTGCTATACTGGTTCGCAGAGACAGGCTTTTAAGGAGGTCATTCTTTAATAATTTTTGCTGAGTGGATAGAACATTCTATCATTGCATATGTGAACCTCTAGTTATATCTGCATCCAGGAGCCGACCGCTGTCACCTTAGAGCAAAAATAGTCAGCAGGGGCTGACGGTCCCAGAGGGTGAAGGGGAACATCCCTTGAACTTGACTGGCAGGGCCTCCGTTTCTTTTAGCTGATTTATGGGACTCCATTCTGCAAGTTTTAAGCAAAGCCTCTCAGAGCCTCTTTTCAACCCTCACTCCCTCACTCCCCCTTTTTATTGGGAATCAGGAGGGGCCCTCTAATTCTTTTTAGGCAGGGCCTACCCCCTGCCCCCCTTTAAAATTTGGAACCACTCTGCTCCTGATTGTTAGATAGTTTTTTTACTAAAAAAATAAATCTGCATTTGATTAAATATAGCTAAAGGTAAAGGTACAAAAAGAAAGGACAACTGAGAAATGACGGAAACAATGATATCTTCAAAGATAAACTTCTTCGTAAGTCAAATATATTTTTTCCTGCTGTATTAATAGGCCTTGAGTAGTAATGTAACTGATTGATGATTTTTTGTCTTGTTTTGTTTAGATTAAAGAAGATGGAGAGCAAGACTTGGAAGTGGACGAGATCTATCTCCACGAAAATTTCAACGCTGGGAAAAAATTAAACAATGACATTGCTCTAGTAAAAGTAAAAAATCCGCTGAAGTTCAACAAGTATGTACAACCCATCTGTCTGCCTAATTCGTCGTTGAAGTACAATCCTGGTCTCAACTGCACGATATCTGGATGGGGCTCTGTTGGAAACCCTGGATCAGGTAAATTATTAGTTTTTTTCCTGAATACGAAAATTTATCGTTCCATAAACTGTAAGTAGCAGGACTCTCATACTATTGAAGCTTTAATAGTTCTCTTCTCATACTGAGGAGAGATAAACAGAACACTGTTTATTAGATATGACATTATTTAATCGTTAAAAATGCATAGGCTGATTGTAAGTACATCTAACAGGGAACTCAAATGTGCAAGCAAAATTTTATAAAACAATTTTTAGAAACATTACCGTCCATGAGGGAGAGGACAGTAGCATTGGTGGCTAGATGCGTATCTTAATCGCAACATTTAAAAATTATCGGTATTGTTTTATTTCCCTCAAAGAAAACTAAACCAATTCAATAATTTTTCGCTATTTAGTGTAAATTTTATAAGATAAGTGAAGAAAATACACAAAAAATTTCAGCTAAAACTGTTGGTTTAAAAAAAAAAAAAATCATAAGCAGAGACTTACGACATCATAGTTTTTCTTTTTTTAACTTCAGGATTTATTGATCCTCTGTGCTTACATAGAAATTACAATAGTCACTATTTAAGGTACGCATTTTTCGGCTTTAGGATTGATGTGGAGGAAAATTTATTCAGAAGAGCTGTTCCATCCAGTTGGTTAAACAAATTATTTGAGTCTCTTAAAAACTACTTTCATAGTATTCCAAACCATAAGTTACAAGGGGCCTAACTAATTTTTGTACTTATTCATAGCTTGAAGTTGCACTTTAATCTCATGAATTTGAGTCCGGAACATGGCAGATTAAAACTGAAAAATCCGGTCCCTCTTAAGTAAGTTTTCCGAACTCAAACTTTGGAATCTCATTCATCTTTCCGTTTGGCTTGATACTTTAGGGCTGTTATTGTGACAAAATATTCGCTAAGTACTCGCAAGGTAGAAGCAATAGTAGGTACAGATACTTTAATTTTCAGTTTCCAAGGAGTTGTGCATAACCAATATTCAATACAAATTCTCTTTTTCAGGCTACGTTCGAAAGTTAAAAGCCACATGGGTGCCAATTCTGAGTAATTCTCAGTGTTCATCTGATGCTGTGTACGGAAAAGCTGCTCTCAGTGAGGGAATGTTCTGTGCGGGATACTTAGAAGGAGGTCCAGATTCTTGCAAAGGAGACTCGGGAGGACCTATGGCTTGCTTCGTAAATGGTGAGTATCCCACTAGAATTGATTAGTTTAAAATTTTAATGAAAAAAGTGCCTGATAAAAGGATTAAATTTTTAATTTAAGTATAACAAGGTGTTTACTATACGGAAAAAGTATGGATACACTGGAAAAGCACAGCTTTTGGAAGGTCGGTATGGAAGTATGGAAAAGGCATGGATTTCCCGTGGTAAGGTATGGAAATTCAAGATTTTTGTGACGAAATCTTAAAAGTAGCCTTTGGGGTATGCAATTTCCTAACATAATCCATTAACCGAGTTCCCAGTTCAATTCCTCGTGTTTTTCGGTTGATTCCTTTGTAGTTCCATCATTCCTCTTTTCCAATCTGAATACAGTAAAAAATGTGTGCAAGGCAAGGAAAAAGTAAGGAAAAGGTGAGAAAAATGCAAGGAATTTTAAGAATCGCTAAAAAAGGAATTTTTGGGAAAGTAAGGGAAAAGCAAGGAATTTAAACGAAGGGGCACCAGTAGACATTCTGTATAAGTTTAAAAAAACTTCTTAAAGTTTAAATTGATAAGTTATTAAATTTAATTATAATTTTGAAAATTATTAGTTATGCTTAACTTAAGAGTGTACATCTAAGTTGTATCGGCAATCAACACAAATCTACACAGAGCGCTGTGGTCATTTGTGGGTTGAATAGCTAATCAGAATCCATGGCCGAAGCTCGCTTCACAATCAAAACTTACAAAATTCTGAAATGATACACAAAAAACATGGATCGCTGCTCACATGTGATACTTGTTTGATGGCTTTTTCCCGAAAGTTGGGTCTTGTTAAAAATTTTGAAGAATAATAAGGCCAAATTTCCAGCTCAAAGGCTTACCACAAGCATATTTACGATTTAAATTTCGGGCTTTTCCCCCGAAAACTTTCAATCGCGGTTTTTTGCCCTTCTTTTTTTTTTTTTTTTTTTTTAATGAGGAGTGCCAACTCCCTGATGGGTTGTGAGAAGATCGAGTTTTGTGGCGGTTAGGTGTCTCAGAGCGCCAGAGAGCGTTGTGAAAGCAGCTTTCATGTATGTAATTTGCCCAACCCTGATAAGTCGGGAAAAGTTAAGGAATTTGGCTGCCAACATTTTCTCCTGTCAAAACGTTGCAGTTTGAAATGTCGGAGTTGTTCTTAATATCTAAAAAGCTAGAGAATGTTTAAATTAATGAGCATTTGTCACTTTACAAACAGCGATAGTCACAATACGTCATTTTTCCCAAGATAGTCCTGGAAATTGCACTGTTTGACAATGCTGCCATCTATGGAAAATAGTAAATAATTTTAATAGAATTCGATTTTTACTTATTTCCAATTGAATTGAATGAAAAGATTCAGCAGAAGGTGAAGTGTGTAATTGCTGATAGTCTCAGGCGAGTGATTGCTGCATGAATACTGTATAGTCTCTTTTTTATTTATATATTTATCATTGATTTCTTTTTTCTTTTTTTTTTCAATTTTATCAGATACTCAAAGCGACTAAACTTCGTGCAACGACGACATACAGGGTGATCCAAAAGTCCCTTCCACCCCCTCTAACTTTTTATCTAATTGAGATAAAGATTTGAAACTTGGGGGATATTCCCAGGTCAAAAGGAGCTACTTTTCGGCCCCCTAAAATTTTCAGGAGGGCCCCCCTCGGGGGGGCAACGGCCCCCAACTTTTAATTTTCAAATGGGAAGACCCCCTTTGTGATAGCTCGTTCGNTTTTTTTTTTCAATTTTATCAGATGCTCAAAGCGACTAAACTTCGTGCAACGACGACATATGAGTGCAATGTGTAACACATTTTGTTATCACACGCGAATATAATTGAAGGCGCCCCGCCTTTTTCAATGGCTAGGTCTGGATGCAACTATTCGTGTTCTTAGGATGTCCGTGTTGCATACGCAAAAAATTGCAGGCGCTCTGGTTTTCTTAAGCACGCCGTTCGGCAGCGGTTGTTATATCTCTAGGTTTTTCTACGTTGCGTTACAGTCGTGTTCGCCATAAAATCCTCGAAATCAGATAAGTCGCGTTACTGCCGTGCTAAGGAAGAACGTCGCATAAGCCGTCCGACGTTGCCATATTTTCTTGAATAAAAACTAATTTATTGGGAAAATTGTGATCATTTTTCTTCAAATTTTTCAGACAATTTTCTTTGAAATTCAATTTCGTATTTTTATAAATTTGAACGTAAAAATATACATAACTGTACTTAAAAATACACGTTTTATCCTGGGAAATTAGGCAACTTTTGAATGTTCATACGGCCTTTTTCCTTAGCACGACTATGTAGCACCATGATAACGCCATTGCAGAATGGTGTATTTTGCGGAGATGTTTTCGGAAGTAATTTGCGATATTGGCGCCCGTGATGCCATCGGTCGTATTACTGCCATGCTAAGGAAGAACGTCGTATGAACCTTCAGACGTTGCCATATTTTCCACAAAAAAAACTATTTTACCGGGAAAATTATGCTAATTTATCTTCAATTTTTTCAGACAGTTTTGTTTGAAATTCAACCTGGAATATTTTTATTTTTGAACATAAGAATATGTATAACAACTTTATTAAAAAATACATGTTCTATCCTGGGAAATTTGGCAACTCTCGAATGTTCATACGGCCTTTTTCCTTAGCCTGACTATCTAGTAGCATGACAGTGCCGTTGCAGAATGACGCTCATTGCGGAGATGTTTTCGGGAGTAATTTGCGGGATGGGCGTCCGTGATGGCACCGAGGAAATGTTTTCGTGGACAATTTGCACTATCTGGCAACGCTGCCGCTATGCAACACGACTCATTCAAACTCCGAAGATTTCGTGGTAAACACGATTGTAACTTACAAACCCTTGGAGAACCAACAATCGCGGTCATGCCTCATGCGATGCGTTGCGATTAAGAAGGCCAGAGCGCCTGTAATTTTGTGTGTATGCAACATGGACATCCCTAGAACACGAATAGTTGCATCCAGACCCTCCCATTGCAAAAGCCGCAGCGCCTCCAATTTTTCCGCTTGTGGTAACAAAATGTGCGACTCATTGCATTTATACATTGTCGTAGCACGAAGGTATGGTGGTTTCAGTGTATGATCAAATTGGAAAAAAAGAAATAGATAAATATTAATGAATCTGTAAATAAAATGGAACCTATTCTCGCGGCAGTCACTCGCCTGACTTTATCGACACTTACATATTTAACCTATTTCTGAATCTTTTCACTTAATTTACATGGAAGTTCGTAAAAATCGTATCTCATCAACTAGAAACTGGTTCCAGAATGGAATGCGATCTACCTCTCACACTAAACGTACTCTCACGTCACAACTTAGCCGTCAACAACAGCCGATCTCATAGGCGTCTACCGGATTGTACGGGTGAAATGAAAAATATCAAATATTTAAAATTTCCTTGAAATTTTTCCTGAAATTTCACAAATTTGTGGAAAAAATGAAACATATTTTCAGGGGCTGGGTATGCAACGCGCATTAGGAATACCAAAAATAAAAAAAAACCAGTTGCGTTTCATTCAATTTTGCATTTAATTTCGAAGAATATGTTTCAATATTTGTCCTACTTTTCTGAAATTTAATGAAATATTTCGCATGAAATTTCAAGTTTTTATTTTTCATGGAAAATGGCAACCCTGGATCCAGGCATTTCGAACGGGAGGGGCGGGGGGAGTGTTCAGGGGGCTTCCCCCGGAAAATTTTCGACATTTCACAGCATGAGATGTGCAGTTTGAGTCAATTTTGTCCTAAATAATCACCAAATGTAAGCGTCCATCCTTTTTCTTCCCTCCGCTTTTTCAATCTCTCTTGCTTCCCATTTCTTCCTCCTTTTTGTCGGACAAGAAGGGGGGAGGCGCACGCCTCTTACGCCCCTCCCCCACCTTGAAAGCGCCTATGCCGAACCCACGGCCGTGAAAATTTCAGTATGCCTCATAAAAGTGAAATTGCACCAAACACATATTTAATTACACAGCTGGAAATAGATTTCCTCGATATCTATAAGTCAGAAACTAGGAGAGGAGGAGCAGAGGCAGATGAAGGCTGAAGAAGTATCCGAAACTCTTCCGCTCTTACTGGAGATGAAAAATATTTTCTCGCCGCCAAATGTTTTCTTAATTTTGCACGATTAACTTCGTTTGCATCGATTTTTATCGTCGGCGCTCCCGCTTTCTGTTACGGGAAATCATTCGCGAGATCGCGCGACACGTTCAGTCGCTCAGGCGTATCGAATAACATTCATCAATTCTGCCGTGCTAAGGAAAAACGCCGTATGAACATTCGAGAGTTGCCAAATCTCCTGCACTAAAATGTTTATTTTCAGGGAAATTTATGAATATGTTTCCCTGAGATTTTCAGAGACTATGGTTGAAATCGAGAGCGAAATTATCCAAAAAATTGGAGTGAAAATATTCATACTTTTACCAGGAAAGTCGTGTTTTATCTAAAGAAATTTGGCAACACCTGAAGGTTCATACGACGTTCTTCCTTAGCACGGCAGAATGCGTAATCGGATCCAATGACTCGCGGGAAACTTGGAAATTGAAGCGCTTTTCTTGGTGTCGGCGTGTCAGAATTTCCGCTGACTTTTCATACCTACCTTATGATTAAAGCAAGTGTTTGTAATGTGTTGAATTTTTTAATGAGTATATTTTTTATCAGGCTGTCTAGCATCAGGATTTTCCCGATTCTATCAGGATTTAAGGTCAATCAGGATTTAATTCCGATTTCATCAGGATCTGAGGAAAAATCGGTCGTAAGATCAAACTTTGAGAAAAGTCGGCCGTTCGATCGGATTTTTCAATCGAGCTGTTTTGAAGTCAGGATTTGATCAGGATTTGGCAGTCAAAAATCAGAAAAAATCAGGATTTCATCAAGATTTCCCATAATGAAAAAAAAAACAAAAAACAAAAAAACTAGACACCCCGTTTATGATTTCATAATGCTGATAACGAAGAATTCAAGGGAATTCACCCAATAGTTTCCTCTCTAAAAGGGACCGCGTTTAG